GAAAATAGCCTACTATGATTCAAAACCAAAAATTCTTTAAATTGCGTTTTGAAACATATCTAGGTCTTTTAAATGATAAAGAGTGCAAATATAGATATAAAATCGATATTTTTTTGAAAATAGCCTACTATGATTGAAACCAAAAATGCTTTAAATTGCATTTTAAAACATAACTAGGTATTATAAATGATAAAGAATGCTAATATAGATATAAAATCGATATTTTTTTTGAAAATAGCCTACTATGATCAAAACCAAAAATGCTTTAAATTGCATTTTAAAACATATCTAGGTCTTATAAATGATAAAGAATGCTAATATAGATATAAAATCGATATTTTTTTTGAAAACAATCTACTATGATCAAAACCAAAAACGCTTTAAATTGCATTTTAAAACATATCTAGGTCTTATAAATGATAAAAAATGCTAATGAAGAAATAAAATCGATATTTTTTTGAAAATAGCCTACTATGATCGAAAACAAAATTGATTTAAATTGCATTTTAAAACATATCTAGGTCTTATAAATGATAAAAAATGCTAATAAAGAAATAAAATCGATATTTTTTTGAAAAAAGCCTACTATGATCAAAAACAAAATTGATTTAAATTGCATTTTAAAACATATCTAGGTCTTATAAATGATAAAAAATGCTAATGAAGAAATAAAATCGATATTTTTTTGAAAATAGCCTACTATGATCGAAAACAAAATTGATTTAAATTGCATTTTAAAACATATCTAGGTCTTATAAATGATAAAAAATGCTAATAAAGAAATAAAATCGATATTTTTTTGAAAATAGCCTACTATGATCGAAACCAAAAATACTTAAAATTGCATTTTAAAACAAATCTAGGTAATATAAATGATAAAGAGCGCTACTATAGATATAAAATCAAAATTTTTTTGAAAATAGCCTACTATGATCGAAACCAAAAATGCTTTAAATTGCATTTTAAAACATATCTAGGTATTATAAATGATAAAGAGCGCTAATATAGATATAAAATCAATATTTTTTTGAAAATAGCCTACTATGATCGAAACCAAAAATGCTTTAAATTGCATTTTAAAACATATCTAGGTATTATAAATGATAAAGAATGCTAATATAGACATAAAATCGATATTTTTTTGAAAATAGCCTGCTATGATCGAAAACCAAAAATGCTTTAAATTGCATTTTAAAACATATCTAGGTATTATAAATGATAAAGAATGCTAATATAGACATAAAATCAATATTTTTTTGAAAATAGCCTACTATGATCGAAACCAAAAATGCTTTAAATTGCATTTTAAAACATATCTTGGTATTATTAATGATAAAGAATGCTAATATAGATATAAAATCGATATTTTTTTGAAAATAGCCTGCTATGATCGAAAACCAAAAATGCTTTAAATTGCATTTTAAAACATATCTAGGTATTATAAATGATAAAGAGCGCTAATATAGATATAAAATCAATATTTTTTTGAAAATAGCCTACTATGATCGAAACCAAAAATGCTTTAAATTGCATTTTAAAACATATCTAGGTATTATAAATGATAAAGAGCGCTAATATAGATATAAAATCAATATTTTTTTGAAAATAGCCTACTATGATCGAAACCAAAAATGCTTAAAATTGCATTTTAAAACAAATCTAGGTAATATAAATGATAAAGAGCGCTAATGAAGATATAAAATCGATATTTTTTTGAAAATAGCCTGCTATGATCGAAACCAAAAATGCTTAAAATTGCATTTTAAAACAAATCTAGGTAATATAAATGATAAAGAGCGCTAATATAGATGTAAAATCAATATTTTTTTGAAAATAGCCTACTATGATCGAAACCAAAAACGCTTTAAATTGCATTTTAAAACATATCTAGGTATTATAAATGATAAAGAATGCTAATGTAGACGTAAAATCGATATTTTTTTGGAAAATGCCTACTATGATCAAAACCAAAAACGCTTTAAATTGCATTTTAAAACATATCTAGGTATTATAAATGATAAAGAATGCTAATATAGATATAAAATCGATATTTTTTTTGAAAACAACCTACTATGATCGAAACCAAAAACGCTTTAAATTGCATTTTAAAACATATCTGGGTATTATAAATGATAAAGAATGCTAACATAGATATAAAATCGATATTTTTGTGGAAAAAGCCTACTATGATCAAAACCAAAAACGCTTTAAATTACATTTTAAAACAAATCTAGGTATTATAAATGATAATGAATGCTAATATAGACATAAAATCGATATTTTTTGAAAATAGCCTGCTATGATCGAAAACCAAAAATGCGTTAAATTGCATTTTAAAACATATCTAGGTATTATAAATGATTAAGAATGTTTATATAGGTATAAAATCGATATTTTTTTGAAAATAGCCTGCTATGATCGAAAACCAAAAATGCTTTAAATTGCATTTTAAAACATATCTAGGTATTATAAATGATAAAGAATGCTAATATAGACATAAAATCGATATTTTTTTGAAAATAGCCTGCTATGATCGAAAACCAAAAATGCGTTAAATTGCATTTTAAAACATATCTAGGTATTATAAATGATTAAGAATGTTTATATAGGTATAAAATCGATATTTTTTTTGAAAATAGCCTGCTATGATCGAAAACCAAAAATGCTTTAAATTGCATTTTAAAACATATCTAGGTATTATAAATGATAAAGAATGCTAATATAGACATAAAATCGATATTTTTTTGAAAATAGCCTGCTATGATCGAAATCCAAAAATGCGTTAAATTGCATTTTAAAACATATCTAGGTATTATAAATGATTAAGAATGTTTATATAGGTATAAAATCGATATTTTTTTGAAAATAGCCTGCTATGATCGAAAACCAAAAATGCTTTAAATTGCATTTTAAAACAAATCTAGGTATTATAAATGATAAAGAATGCTAATATAGACATAAAATCGATATTTTTTTGAAAATAGCCTGCTATGATCGAAAACCAAAAATGCGTTAAATTGCATTTTAAAACATATCTAGGTATTATAAATGATTAAGAATGTTTATATAGGTATAAAATCGATATTTTTTTGAAAATAGCCTGCTATGATCGAAAACCAAAAATGCTTTAAATTGCATTTTAAAACAAATCTAGGTATTATAAATGATAAAGAATGCTAATATAGACATAAAATCAATATTTTTTTGAAAATAGCCTACTATGATCGAAACCAAAAACGCTATAAATTGCATTTTAAAACATATCTAGGTATTATAAATGATAAAGAATGCTAACATAGATATAAAATCGATATTTTTTTGGAAAAAGCCTACTATGATCAAAACCAAAAACGCTTTAAATTGCATTTTAAAACATATCTAGGTATTATAAATGATAATGAATGCTAATATAGACATAAAATCGATACTTTTTGAAAATAGCCTACTATGATCGAAACCAAAAATGCTTTAAATTGCATTTTAAAACATATCTAGGTATTATAAACAGAGTTTGAAAATAAAATGAAAATTGCTCTATTTTGAAAATAAATCAAAATGAAAATTATGAAAATTGCCAATTTTGATCAAAGCAATTTTGCAATTTTGTCAATTTCAGAAAATTGCAATTTTGGAAATTGTTTATTTTCCAAAATTGCAATTTTGGAAATTATCAATTTTTATTTTTGTGACGTCATAAATATTTGATGAATAATTTTGTATGAAAATTTTCTTCTTTTTAGATGAATTTTTTCTTCAGAAAAACAAAAGATACAGTTTATTTCCTGGATTTCGATATTCGTTTTTAACTTAATACTTGCTAATTCCTGCGTGTTTGATGCGTTGTTCCTTTAAGTTTATTTTAAATTAAAGGTACTCATAATGCTCATAATCATAATTTTAAATTAAACTTAAAGGAACAACGCATCAAACACGCAGGAATTAGCAAGTATTAAGTTAAAAACGAATATCAAAATCCAGGAAATAAACTGTATCTTTTGTTTTTCCGAAGAAAAAATTCATTTAAAAAGAATAAAATTTTCATACAAAATTATTCATCAAATATTTATGACGTCACAAAAATAAAAATTGATAATTTCCAAAATTGCAATTTTGGAAAATAAACAATTTCCAAAATTGCAATTTTCTGAAATTGACAAAATTGCAAAATTGCTTTGATCAAAATTGGCAATTTTCATAATTTTCATTTTGATTTATATTCAAAATAGAGCAATTTTCATTTTATTTTCAAACTCTGATTATAAATGATAAAGAATGCTAATATAGATATGAAATCGATATTTTTTAAAAATTAATTTTGGTTTCGTAACCATTTTTGATTTCGTAATGAATATAGGGAGGATTAAAATGAATCCATCGGATTAAAATTTGAAATCGTTATATCTACGTGGTTGTTGATGGAAGTGGGGTATGTTTAGTATCATTGGATAGGTCTTTTAAGGCCCTACATTACAAAAAATGTTTCATCTAATAGTTCTCTAAATCAAGTGCACCAGAACAATTTTAATTTGAGCCTCCAAAAATTATGATTTTGGTATCAATCTATTCCTAAGAAGATGTAGAAACTACCAGCTATTTTTTGATTTAAGGGTTTAAAAAAAGTTAAAGCAAATGTAGTGTTTTCATGGAGATTTCGCGAAAATCTTCCATCAAGCACTAAAGTCTCAAATAAAAAGTTCATGCAAAAATCATTACATAAATCATTACTTTTGGATAATACGGTGGACCTGTAGGTTGGGTGACAAAATTTGAACGACATAAAGAAACACCTTCCGTGTTCCACGCGGAAGCTAAAATCTGTGATGAAAAACATTATGATTTTTCTAATCTATTCTAGTTCTTACTATTTAGCATTATGAATTCATTTCCTGCGTAAAAATGATTCTTATGTGATGAAATTTTACGTAAATAAAATAAATCATAGGTAATGTTTTCATCATAAAGAAGAAATGAGATTAATTTAAGTCCGCAAAACAATTATATTAGCTTATAAACTTCATTTTCCTTTATTTGCTTTCTTAATTTTTGATTTCAATGCTTTTACATCAACTTTATCAGATTTCTGCTTCTTACTGCTACTTAGACCGTCGGATTCTTTTGGTGGAACATAATCCAATTCTCTTCTTTCTTTTTGTTTGAGCTTGTCAGCTGCTTGCTTTTCACGTCGTTCCTTATTAATTTTAGCCTTCTTTTCCTGTTCTGTAAGGAAATACTCTCCGGAAGCTAACATTTTGTCCATTTTACTTTCAGGCTGTGGTGGTGGGAACGGTGTATATTCCTTCTTAGCTTTAACTTCCTTTTTAGGCTTTTTTGCCTTCTTTTTGTTTGGATTCTTATTTTCAAATTTAGGTAAAAATCGATCCCAATTTTCGTTTTTTAATTTTTCGTCTTTCATTAATTCACGTTTAATCATCAGTGCCTTAATATTGTAAATTGGATGAATATTTTTCATGGTATCCTCAACGATAGCTCTAACATGCTGAAGACCCTTATAAGGTCCGATTGCTGAAACTGTGCATCCTTGAACTAAAACATAGCAATTTGTGAGCAATTCTAACGATTTCAATGTACATCCACCAGGTCCAATCAATCGGTTCCTTCTCTTAATAAATTTCTCTCGGTTCCTTACTAAATTCTTGATTTTAATAATATCGCATGATATTTCATCTTCTAAAACTCTTACTGCCTGCTCATAAGGTACACTTCTTGATAACAATTTAATGATGTCTCTTGCCTTAACAATGATAAATGGATCCCATGTTTTTCTTGTCGTTTTAACTAACATAGATCCTTTTATAACATCCAGCTCGGCTTTTAAGAAATGAGTATCTAATGCTTTTTGCACCAATGGCCAGCATTCTTTCAAGTATTTCTCTCGATATTTAGGGAACAATGTTGAAAATGAGCTTTCTTCTAGTAATCCTATGAGTTAATTTTAATTATTTTGAGTTTCTCACGTTTTTTTCCAAAAAAATTTGTGTATTTTCTTACCATTCTTATTATCATCCGGTTTAAACTCCGGGATCTTCATTTTCCACGCATCCTCAACCGGTCCTGTATAATGACTGATTTTTTGTGAAATATCTTCCTGATCAGACTCGCTATCACTCATTTTTTAATTAATTTATATTTTCAACAAAATAATCGTGCTATTTTCTAATGTTGTATTGTTTACAGTTTTTTCAAAATTTATTTGTCAGTTAAAAAGATTCAAGTCAAAATGTATTTTTAAGCTAATTAAGCATTATTTTGAACCTGTTATTCAACTTGGAAGCTTTTAATAGCGACATTACATAACAATATAATTAATGGCATATTTTAAAATTCCCTATTAATAATACAATTCATGTAATGTTTAATCAATGCGATAGTAAACAAACAATTTCAAAATAAACTAGTGTATCGGGTAGAAAACCAATACGGAAATATTCACACCGTACCATCAAAAGTATTATGGATAGACCAAGATTTGCTCAGCATAAGATTAAAGGTGTAAAGCTTGATAAGTCAGCTGAGCTTTGCACAGTATAAGTTTGAAAGTTTAAACCTAGCGTGTCAGCTGAGCTTCACTCACACGTGAAAACGGTGTGAATATAAAAAAATGATTGAAATTGAGAATGTAGAAAATTTAATTAAAGTAGACTGTAATTGTAATGAAATAGTAAGAATTAATGCACAAGAACTGACATATGATCAGTTCTTTCATGAGTTTATGTTCAAAAATGTTCCTGTTATAGTTAAAACCGTTGATTTATTAAAACCGGCTTCAAAAGAATGGTTCACAGATAATAAATTTAATATTGACAAGTTTGAGGATGTCTTGAAGGATATAGATGTGCCAGTCTACAATAATTCAAAGCAATATTTTAATTCTCATGAAAAGTCAACGATGAAATTCAATGATTATGCTGAATACTTTAGAACAGATGACAAAAAGGAACTTTTGTATTTGAAGGACTTTCATTTAAAGCAACAACTTCCAGAACTGGATTTTTACAATGTACCTGAATTTTTTGCATCTGACTGGCTTAATGAATGTTTGATAGACAAAGGATCTGATGATTATCGTTTTGTATATATTGGAGTTAAAGGAACTTGGTAAGTCTTACTAGATGTTTTATGTTAACCCTTACTATATATGCTTTCATAATAGGACACCATTGCATTCTGATGTATTTAACTCATACAGCTGGTCTGGAAATATTTGTGGCACAAAGCAATGGTTAATGATAGTTCCTGGAGATGAAGATAAATTAAAGGACAGTTTTGGACAGTTACCAATATCTGTAGACAGCAATTTACTCAAAGAAAAGAATGTCAAGTTCTTTGAAATCATTCAGGAACCGAACGAAATTTTATTTGTACCAAGTAAATGGTTCCATCAAGTATTAAATCTTACCGATGTATTTTCTATAAATCATAACTGGTTTAATAGCTGTAACATCCACGAGATTAAGGATAGTTTATTTAAAAATTGGAATGATGTCGTAGCTGAAATTCAAGACTGTAAGAATATGTATGATTTTGATAATCATTGTCAGTTAATGACCAAGTCACTTTTTGGAATGGATTTTAAAGATTTTGTTGATATTTTGATACATGTTGGAACAAAACGACGCAAATTTATTAAAAGTAATGAAAGCTTTAAGCTATTTGATAAATATGAAGTAGGAAGGAACTTGGCAGAGTATGATGATCAAATGATTGACGAGATCCTGAAAGAGATCTTAGATGTTTATGTAAATTTTTTGAGTGACAGCTTGATCCAAGCAATATTAAGTTATCTACACGCAGATTAAGGCTATTCAAGATTTACAGTAAGTATCACTCTTAATAAAAAAGTTTTATTGTATGTATGTTTCTCGTTCAAATATCAAAAGTTTAAAAAATTGTCAGAACATAAGAGAAAGGTTGTATTTTAAATCCTAATGACAATATGTGCACTTTGGCGAACACTTTTTTCCATTCACGCCACATTTACATCCACTTGAGATATCTCCTTTGCCACCAGGGCCCCATCTAGTTTGCTTCGTCACCCAACATATTTCTGTCTTACAGAACGTACATTTTAGCCAATCACAACCCCATTTCTTTAATAAAAATATCTGCAAAGAGATTAATGCCTCAAAATTAAAATGGACATAAAAAGTTATAAGCTTAGTTGCTAATTACATGACATGTTGGGCAATTCATTGCTTCATCTTTTTCGATTAATTCTTGTAGTAGCTTTTTAGTTTGATTTATTGATTCGTTATCAGTGTCTCTAACCAAATGATCTTGATATTGCTTACAGTTAAGTCCATCATGAATTGCCTATAATAAAAATTTAAAGCTTAATATATTGTTATTATAATAAATGTTAAATAAATTACCCCGCATGTTATGCAATTCACAATTGTACAAACAGGGCATTTGAATGTGTTTAGATTCTCTTCAAAAATGCACCATCCTTTACAATTGGGAGTCTTACAATGATAAGTATTTGCCATTGAATTTTCTGCTAATCTTATAGATCGTGATAAATGCTTCTCATATTCATCCTTTGACACAAGTCCACGAATTTCTCGTTCTTGAAGGAGACATGGACAACTGAATGTATCGTCTATATATGGACATTTAATTTCAGCTTCATCGCTGTACTTTATATGATGCTCTAAACATAGTTTGCAAAACACATGAAGACATTCTCGAAGACATGCCCCAGCTTTTGGTTCAATTTCGAGAAAGCATATAGCACACTCAAATTTATCTACATTGGGAACAGTATCTGATATCTCCAAACTTACAAGTTCCTGATAATGACTTCGATTTTTGTTTGGTATTTCTTTGGTAACTTTTTGACTAGATTTGTATATAACATTTGTAATAATTGGTTTACGTATTTGATTGGAAGCAACTTCTGTTTTAGGAAAGAAGTACGATTTATAGGGATTAAAATTGTCTACACCTCGATACTTATTTCTCGTTATGTTGGGATTATTAATTGCTGCCGTCATGACTATTGTGTTTTGTTGTTGCTGTTGAGGTAAAATTTCTTTCTTAAATAAGTTCTTGTCTTCGACTAAGATATTTAATAGATCTGAGGATTTACGGTTTACACTTTGACGGTTAAGATCGTTTTTCTCAACATGCTTTGGTCTGAGATCGACTTTATCCATTTCAAAGAATGTTCGTAGATCTTCGTTTACTTTTAAATGATATTCTAATTCTTTTAATTTTGCAACTTTATTGTCTTTTGGACGAGATGTTGAACATGCCAGACATTGTTGTCTGTTTGGAAGATTTATTAAAGTACATAACGGACACTCCCATCCTTTGTCTTCAATTTTATTTTTGGCTTCTGTTTGTTCTGACTTATTTGAATCGACAATTCCTCCAACAGCTTCATCGAGTTTTCCAATTTTCTCATTTTGCAACTCGTCATCCGATTCTGAATTTTTCCTATTCTTTGATGCATTGACATTAATTTTGAGATTTTTATCAAATTGCATTCCAAGGTCATTCAGGACTTTTTTGTCATTCAACACCTCAATGCTGTTAATTGACAATATTTGCTTCTCTACTGGAATATAATAGTCTTTGGAGATTTGCAGCTTTAGATCACCAATTGTCATAAATGGGGAAATTTCGTAGCAATTTACTTCCATTTCTCTGTAATCTTCCTTGATATATAGATAGGCACTGTTAAGAAAATAAAGTTTTAAAAATTGAACACATTATTATTTAATATATATATGTATATATAATATTGAGGAGTCTCAATCCATGTCTCTTCAATTGAGATCGATCATGTCGAGAATGAAGCTTTGAGATATACATAAAACGGTTAAAATTTGTAAAAGTTTGCTACAAAGAATCAAAGACTTAATTCCGAAAAAAAAATCCAAAAAATTATTGGAGATATGTTATAGTGGGAAAAAATCGATAGGAAATTGTCAATGGGCAATCGGCCCAAACCCTCAAAAATTACAGAGAATAGACTTACCTAAGTTTTGTAACTTCTAAGTCAGTTCCAGATTTTGGTCGTTTTTTCTGTCTTGTCACGTGAAGTGGAACCTTCATTCTTGCTAGATCTTTTGCTAATTGTGCTGCTTCGTCATGTCTTCCTTCTGATATTGCATGTTCCAAATGTCTTAAAATTTTATTTATGGCAATTGTATTTGTGTATATTGGCGATGATTTCTCTTTGACCTCAAGTGCTATTGGTTCTATCTTAACAATTGTCTTTTCTAAAGTTTTAGGTTCAACCTTTTCAAGAATTTTCTCAGTAAAACCATTTAGAATTGTAGGAATAGTTTTAAGAGCCTCTCCATTAACTTTAACTTCTTCTTTCTCATTTCTTTTTGATAGTTCAGCAACGGTTGTTGGAAGTAAATCTTCAGATTTCTTTCTGATCTTGACTTCTGGGTTAGTTTGAACTGATATAGAAATTTTCTCACGCTTTTCAATTTTTGGCACTTCTGGAGGTTTTGACTCTTTATTGATGATTTTCTCTTCGAGAGCAATTGCTTGATTCTCAAAACTATCTTGACGAGTCTCCAAAGGCTTTTTTAGTACTTTTTTTATGGCGCCGAGTTTTGAGTTTTCTGAAGATGCAGACTGTTCAGTTAAACTCTCTGATTCATTTTCCTCTTCATTAATTGGCTTCTTAAGTACTGGATATTTCTCAGCCAAAGCTTTAGCATTCATTGCTCGAATTTTGTCACGAAGCCTTTCCTTTTCTCGTTCAAGGGCAGCTGGATCTGAGAAATCTAATTTGTCAGAGAACTTCTTTTCAGGACTTTGTTTTCTATTAACTGTCACATTCAATCTCTCGACTTCTGATTGATTTTTCTTTATTTCTAGTGAAGTATGAAATCTGGCTAGTCTAGCTGATCGAATTTCATTTAAATCAGGTGTTGAACGAAGGTTTACATCCCCATTTTGTTGCTCTGTTTTATCAGCATTAATTAGAGGTAAAACATTTTTAGAAGTCTTGAAGATCACTGAGCTTGAATTTTGAGGTACTTTCTCTTGAACTTTATCATTTTCATTAGATTCTTCGACTATCGATTCAATTTTTGGCGGTTTAGGATCTGGTTTATCTACGGACATTTTTCTAGGAAGCATTTTTGGTGATCCCAAAAAGCGTCTAGTTGGTGATGGAGATTTCTTCAGTATGTTATTAGCTATGAAAGTTTCAGAAGATGATTTAGATAGTTCATTAAGCTTATTTTGAGGATGAAAGTATTTTTTCACCAGCTCAGTTTTCTTATCCCAAGGATTGTTATCAGTTTTGTTGTTCTCGAATGAATACTTTCTTGGTGGTGTTGGTGATTGCTTTGGGATGTTAGAGCTCTCATTTTGAACAAAACGTTTCTCATAAGGCTTAATTTTTCCACAAGCTTCACAAATTATTTTCCAATTTGGATTTTCAAGTGTACAATAAGGACAGTTCCATAATCCCATTAAGCTGCTTGTTTTCTTGCTTCCATTTATTGCTACTGGAAGTTTCGTTTTTAATGGCGATTCTTCTAGACTTTTTAATTGCAATTTTGGAGATACTTTTTCAATTTTAATGTTGCCATTTTTTCCAAATAAATCTTCACGTCCTACAAAATCACCATTCACAGTAATTCTTGTGATGTGTGATGAAGTTATTTCAAATTTATGGATCAGTTCTCTCGTGTTTACTGGTTCTTCCTGTTCATCCTTTTTTTCATCTATTAGTGGATAATTCTTATCACCATTTACAACAGCCTTTGTGACTTCATTCTGTTGACCACGTTGGATAATTTCAGCAGCTTCTCGATCTAATTCGCTAATATTTGGAATTCCAATTTGTGATCTTCGTTTCTCTGCATCTTTTTCTTTCTTTTTAGAGTCTTCACCAAGCCTTGCGAAAATGTTGAATTTACTTGCTGAATCAAAGAATGAATTTCTTGAATATCCAACTTCTGGCAAGTCTTTGTCTTCCTTCTTTTTACGTTTCTCCATCGTCTTTAAAAAAACTTCCTTTTTATATGGAATAGTCTCTTTTTGATTAGTATTAGTATTATTTCTTTTATACCACGGTCGCAGTGATATTGGCGATGATGGTGCAAAAACTTTATCTTTGTCATTCTTCATTATTTTTGGACTTTCTGCCCTTTGATACACTAATTGACCATTCTCAATTGTCAATTGATTAGTTGACTGCCTATTTATTTGATCAGTGCTTTTTTGATGAGTTTTTGAAACTTGCTCAAGCAGCATTCTTTTCTGTTCATCGGTCAGTTTTCTATCTTCTCTAATTTTTAAATACGGTGATACATATTGCCGTTTCGGTTCCATTTTTGGCGACTCACTCGATACAGAAACAGCTGGTGTTGATGCACTTGTTGGATTTTTGACTAGTAAAGGAATTCCGTGAATAATAGCTTGAATTTCTTTATCACCTAATAAACTTGTTGCCGATGATGCTTCTTCTAATACTTTTGTTGTGGGTGAAATTGGCGGTAATGGTGCTTGACGCTTCTTTCGACTTGTTGATCTCGGCGTTAAAGACTTTGTATTGATATTCAATTCTAAAGGAGGTGGCGGTGCTTTACGTTTGTGCTTCACATGTACAAATGCTCCAGCCTTTTTATCTTTTGATGTATCACTGCTTGTTCTCCTATGAAGTTTCGTCACAGCATTGAGATCTTTTAATTTTGCACTGTCAGGTAGATTATTTGATTCCTCTGATATTCTTCGATTATTTGGCAGACTTAAATCTTGGTATTTATTTTGGTTATTGATTGACTTATTCCTATTATAATTTTTATTATTATTATTATTATTATTATTATTCGTTTCAACATCTGATGACTCAGCATATAGGTGATATTTTTGTCTTAAAGTTACTTCATTACTCTTATCAATCTCTCGTACACGATCCCTTGCTTTCACTCTCTTGTGATAGCTTTCTGTGTATGAATTATCTAATATTGTTCTTTCGACCTGAATTAAGAAAATTGATAATGAGAAAAAAACATTGATGCATCAATACGGACGACAACTTACTTGCTTCTGATTCCTATTTAATAAATATTTGATTGGCGGTACAAATGCAAATGAAGATGCTGTACTGAATACACTATCACAACTAGAACTTTGTGAAAATGCGCGACTATTTCGTGGACTAGAAGGCGGAGTGATTGTGTCAGTACTATTAAAGGCTCTCAATTTTTTCCTATTCTGAACCCGTTCGGGTCGTCTATCATGATCAAATTCTAATGTATCTGTAGAACTAGTCAAATCGCGTGGATATCTAATGTCTTTTGCATGTGATTTATCATCTTTTTTAAACCAACGAAAAAATGACTGAAATCCAGACGTTGATGACCGATTAGAGGCATTGCTTGCAGATGATCTATAGTTATTATTATACGATGCTTTTCCTTTTACTCCATTGCTGTGTGTTCCTTGCTGGTTCATATTATAATACCACGTCGGCTCCTCAAACTCTTCATCATCTCCGTAAAAATCAAATTTTCTATATCTTCTTTTTTGATGTAATTGATACTGATGAGGGTAGAATTCACATCTTTGCATGCATCGTGGACGATCTGCGGTTGCGAAATTCTGCACATGGAAATGAAATGTTAAACGGGAATTAAAACATGTGTGTGCATTTGTGGTCTAGATAATTAATTATGCATCATGTGAAGAAAATTTTATTTTCTCCCATGACATTTATGTGAGAGTTATTGAGTACGATCAACTCATTTGAAATAACTTTTTTTGTTTACAAATAAACCCATAAGTTATCCTATCCTCATTCTTTCGTAGTTAATCATTGAATAAATATTTGCGAAGGTCGTTAAAACGGAAATTCAGATTTTCATGTTAAATGTATCTATTTTCTCGTTAAAAAAAAAGTAATACACACATGCTCAATTGCGTGGGTGGATCTCTGTTTAAAAATCATATATGAGCTGAGAACGAGAAAAACTAGACAACCTTAAACTAAATATTTATGACAACAACGAAAATTTTTAAACACACATTAGCTATGCTATTAAAATTTCAATTTAAACAATTTAACAGCTTCAATAAATAGGTGTTTCACATCTAGCTAGATATGTGTTTGTTTTTCGATTGATATAAAGCTTGCAAGTATTTACAAAATATGTTTGTACAATATTGTATAAAGTGCCGCCAATACTTGGCTTATGTCCAGAATATTTTGAGTATTGTGGGATCACAACATTTCCTATGTGCAATTTCCATTAAGATTCTTGAAGAAATTATTAATTTATTACGTATCTTAATTTTTGGTAAAGTAGGTAGGGGGCCGTTCCCTTATGACGTCCGGGGGGGGGTCAAACATTGTTCGTTTTTGAAAAATGACCATAATTGAACGGACCCTAGTAGGTTTGTGTGTCTTTAGTCCTTAGGTTTTCAAACTTTTCAGATCATGACAATACTTGAGTAGCACTACCTTAACCACATTGACTAAAACTATGACTATAAATATTGATGGAGACATGGAGGGGCTCTAATATTCGATAGATGCAATTTATGAACAGCCCAACATATGAATAGAAAATTCATCTTTTTGCACATATGTGATGATCGCATTAAGAAGGAAAAATAGAGAATGACATGAGACATGAGAAGTCTGGTTAATTTACAATTATTTTCCTTGCGCTTCTCTATTTTTCCAGCTAAACTAAAATAGAATTTTTCATCATCACACAAACGAGAAAAAAGAGAATGTAAGAACAAAAAAGAAAATTCATCAACACAGGAAGTGTCACAGAAGAACAGCATGATAGAAATTTTTCTCAGCTGACGATCATATCTACACTTAGTCATATCATAGCGACATGTTATCTTCACTTGTGTGGCCCATCATTATAACTTCTTATTTCATTTACTTGTTAAAAATAAAAATGTCCACAGAAAATTTGTCTAGTTACGTCTGAGAAGTAATTGATGACTCAAGGGAAGAACCGGCTATGTGATGCTATTTAAATCACTTTGTTTCAAGTCGTGCATTAAAATGTTTGCAATAAATTTTCATAATGCTCAGCTGCTCTTAAATTATTTTTTCACTTAATACGTTTCATCCTGTACATATCTAAATTCCTTTATGCAAGCTAATTTCCGCAAAAGATTAAGTAAGACTTTTATTTAAAGAATTTATTGTAGTATGTAGTTTGCTGTGTCAGATAGAAATTTAGCATTTCTTAAAGAAAAGCAAAAGTGATCCGATTTTTTTAATCAAAAATGTAGAAACAGCTGAAGTTGTTCACAAATGATGTCTGCTAGCTACTAGAAGGTTCCAACTTTTCTATTTTACAAATTTTATTTAAAATAAACCATTATTTGAAGCCTTTGTGTTTGGTTTTATAAGTTTGCGACCTCACAATATGATTAAATCATAAGATTTTTTGACAACATAGGTAGAATAAACCGATAGCAGGCAGTTTTAAAGAATTTTTGAATGATGATAAAAAGAGTCTTAAAAGGAATTTCATATCTAGAAATCCATTTCAACTATCACAAAAACTCATAATTAATAAGATTCGAAAAAGTTTAAGGAATATAATCTTCTTGTGATGACACAGAAGTTTGAATCAAAGGAACTAGATGCTATTGCATTTGAAAATATATCTGGATCAGCTTTAAGTCTGTTAGTCTGAATCAATTATGTTAAATTATCTTGTTTACAGCTAGATTTATGAGATGGGATCTTAACAGGTACATTATTATTATTATTATTATTATTATTATTATTATTATTATTAGTTTATTGTTCATTTTTATATTCAAAGGAAAAAGACTCCTTACTGGATAAAAAGTCATAAAAAACCTTTGACGTCTTACAGAGAAACTTTACACTAAATATATATATATATACATTATATCCACTTTTTCTCCTGTTAATCTGTGGGCTCCTCTCAGCCACACAAAAATACTTTAAGAGTTTCAACGCATCTAAAATGCCTTTAAGAAATCTCTTACAAATTACTAAACATTCAAAGCTCGTTAATTAACGTTACATGACTAATTCATCCAATTTCATCTTATCTTCACCATTTGGAATTGAGAAAGAATTCACAAATCTAATTTATTGTCTGAAGTCATTTGTGAGCGATTCCAAACCAAATTTAATAGCTCTTCTTCGAAAGCATGTCTTATCAAGTGCAATAAAATTTGGGTGACTCAATCAGTTCTTTTAATAGAGGAATTACTTAATTTAAACAAAATTAGAAGAGAACTCATTTTGCCAAAACGAATGAATAAGCAGCATCATTCAACAAACATTTCAGATAATTTTTTATTTGAAGAATAATTAGTTTTAAAAATATTGAAAACCGTTAAAATATTAATAGCTTTTTTTTCTAATGGAAAATTTCTCATTTTTTTTAAATAATTCAAATCTGTGTGGTTAAAGTCATTCATCACTTGATAATTCTACACTTTCTAAACATATTCTGGAGAAATTGATTGTTAACATCCAGCCTGATTTCTTGATCATTCAAGATCATAATTAATCTATTGTTTCTCGCATTCTCACGAGCTACTATTTGCCCTTAATAACAGCCTATAAAACATGTCATGTGAGATTCAGTTTGAAAACACTCAATTTAAATATCCATACTACTACAACTTTTTTAATGTCTTAATTTAATTCGCGAATATGATAAAACTAATTCGCACTCACTCCAACTACTTGAAATTTTCTATATTTAACTGTATGCCTCTCAATCTCTTTTTCAGCAACACTAAACACTTCTTTTTTTGGTTCTACGAAATTTCAATTCAATTTAGACACTTTTTAATCCAATTTAAATTCAATTAATGCTACACTAATTTTTATTTATCGACTGAATCTAACGACGTGCACTGTGCGCGATGAAAATCTCAACTGAAAGAGCATTGCTGAGCATCTGACACAATATAGAGTTTGTCTTGAGATGAAAAATCTTTTTTTTTGTTTCATTTTTTTTTTATTTTAAAAATGATCAAGAAGAAAAATTATATATTTAGTGTTGCCATTAAAATAAGAAGTAAGTCTTAATCGTCAATCGTCTACATTTCTTGTTCGTGATGCTTTCATCTATTTTTAAGCATGCACACTTGAACTTGACTTTTTGGCTGAACTTTCGTCAATTGGGATTGAAATTATTATTATTGTCGACTCAATGAATCAGACAACACAATGTGACAAAAAGTGTAAAAATTGAGAGAAATTTCTGCTACTAATATTTTTTTCGATTTTGTGCTCGGAATAGAGAGAAGATTTGAAAATGTAAATGACTTTGTTTTTGCGTTGGTTGCACATGTTTATTATCTTGTGAGAAATAAAATTGTCATAGTTCTCATGTCTCGAATTCTCTCTGATAGCTTCTCATATATTTTATATGATCGGCATGCTCTTAGCTCATTTTCTCAACATTTTATGTTCATTATGACTGAAATCTATTGATCAGGTGAATAATTCAGGTGATAATTTGTAATATGATCTTGAAATGATTAATGGAACTATTAAAGTCCAATTAGATTACATTGTTTGTAATTAATGAGTTATGAAGTTAAGTGAGCAATTAGAATGATGTAATCACTTGTTTTATTTAACTATGCAGAATTAAATGTATTTAATTCTTTTTTTAAAAAATAATGAAATGAAAAAGTAAGAACATTTTGAATTTTAATAGTTAAATTTTCAATGACGTGAATCATCACTAGAAGAGTCATAATTTGAAGACTTAATAGAATAAGGTGAAAAGAAGCGATCTGGAAATGCGCTATAATGGATTGATAAACAATAGGCGAAACTAGAACCAGTTTATTTAAAATAGTCAATTTAGGAATGAAGAGCAAGCATTCAAAATTTAAATAAATCTTGTTTTTTTTCATCCATCAATTGTTTAACAAATAAATGTTCATTTCAAATACCATAAATTATTCTTTATTTACGCATTTTCCAACAAGAGTTAACATTTAAAAATGCATTAAACTAAATAGTTTATTGGAAATTTGAGAGCAAAGTTGAACATGGCATGCTTCTCTCAGCGTATAGCTGTTTTGAGGATCATGTTACAACAATTTGTGCTCAATATTAATTGACTATGTTAATCAACCTATGTCACTACTCGTACGGAACTATATCGCTTTTCTCACTATGATTTGAGTAATAAAATAAGAAAAGTTAATTTTCTTGGCTCAATCCCAAGTGGTTTCACAGACTATTTTTCGCTAAAGCCGATGACTGGGCTGAATTAATTTTTACGCATTTATTTTATTTCTTCATTCTTTTTCTTTTTTTTCAATTTAATATTATTGATCAAAAATTTTCATATGGCTTTTGATTTTCATTAGCTTTGTTTCACTTTTTATATCTTTTTTTGATTGGCAGATCCAATTTTTCCTTCAGACACAAATTATTTTTTTGTGTGTCTTATTTTTATATTCCCAAGGTGGTTGATTATTGGAACAAAAAAAAAATGATTTTTTATTGATAGCATTCACACTTTATGGAAATTGATTTGTAATTTACCATTTAACACAATTTTTGATTTTAATTGCTTAGCAATAATTATTTCACAAGACCAAATTATGCAACTTTTTTTATTTTTGCTTTAAAGTCAAAGACTTTTTTCCTTCCTTGCTATTTTTACGAGAAGTGAAAAATCTTTTTTATAACTTTTTTAAATGAATTATCGCGGAAAACTGAAAGAGATTTTTTTTTCTCATAGAGGAAGAATTTTTTCGCATCGAAGGGAAGCAAGTTAGGGTTCTGTGTCATTTTCTGGGAGGTTTTGAAGCGCATTTAGTACATGACTTTTTTTAAACGTTCAATAAACAAGCATAGTCAGGAACTTTTAAAAATCAAAACGCAGACTACGTCATTTAAATGACAGACAAAGAGCATGCTCTTGATCTGAGAGTATGGTTGAGAATACGGTTTTTTAACATCCATTTAATTATAAATAACGTGCATGCAAGTTTTTACTTCATAATCTTTTATATACTCTCAAGAACATGATCAGAAGAGTATTTAAAAATCATGATCATTCACATCCTCATAAGATTATACTAAAATTTTTCTTGCTATATACTTCACAAGCGCTAGCAGAAATCACTAGTATAACTCCTATATACTTCACAAGAGAAAGCAGAAATCACTATTATAAGTAATTATTTTGGACTTTCTATAGTTTAAATATGTGTTATTGCCATTTGAAAGTTATTTAATTTTAGAAGACATTAGACAAGATGAACAGTTATCAGGACAAACTACAACACAGCGTCCTCGGGTTTGAATCACGGCAATATCACGAATAAAATTGGTAGACACGTGGGATGTTCTCTATATTACTTTTAGGTCCTCTATTTTTTCAAACCATATCTAGTCACCCTATTTATGAGTGATCAAATGCAGTATTGATACCTAGCACTTGATTTTAAAAAGGTGGACCTTAGCGTAGGCATTTTGAAAACAAAAACACCAGCCTTTGTTAAAGCAATTTTTTTTGCCTTTGCATAGTCATGAATTTGCTAGATCAAAAGCAAAATCTTGTTAAAGGCAACTTTGTTTCAATACTGATCAAATGACAATTTCACTAGACTAACGTCTAGTTAACGACTAAAGTTAACAGTTTGACGTGGTTTAACGTTTTCAAGGTTTCGATTGACTAGTAGTCATTAACCAGGCTATAAGTTGTCTAGGAGACAACTATAAAACTAGCCAGTCAATATCTCATAATGTCAATCACAACATGCTTTCAAGAAAATTAGATCTTTAAAGAAAACTCTTTCTGAGAGATTTTGTGGCGCTCAGAGATGTCTGTGAATTCTTTTCTTTTCTTGTGTTTTTCACAAAACATAAAAATTATATGAAATGATATGCAAAGAAGCTCATTCAAAGTAGTTACAAAAAAATGAATAGCAAAGTGGCTGTGTGATGAATGAGAATAATGTTGTGATGAAACATATAATAAGAGAACTTGAAACTATGAAAAATCAACTCTTAATGTATCAATGCAAACAATTTTTTTAAATTTATTATTCACGCTAATAATAAAATATAAATTGCTTAATAGTCAATACCGCAAAGTTGCTTTAATTAACCCCATTGATTAGCTCTTTTTTGATATATGTGTCTTGTTAAGTGCTAGCTATTATGATAAAGCATGTTCTGAATCAAACAAAATTAAATTGACACTTGTGCATGCAATTCTCGTAAATGTCCGTAATGAATTGCGGACCTCAAAATGTATTTTCAGCAGAAATATTTTTCTAAAATTAAGATTTTTTGCTCAATATATATTCCTTTTGACTATCGTTCACGTTCACACACTTTTCCGTACAGGCGTTGAAAGCATCTTCAATGTCATTGAATTCTTTCCTTTCATTTTTTTTTGCTTTTGCTTAATGAATTTCACCAGGAAAATTAAATGCCGTCTTTAAAATTTACGATTGTCCCAATTACTTAGTACAAAAATTTATCTTACTGTCGACATTCGATGAGTCGGTACGTCGCGATACATATTTTAATTTCTTATAAAATTTAATGTGCTGATCTCAAAGTTCAATTTTATTCTTAGATGAAAAATTTCTTCGCGAAAATAAAAAAAAAATGGAAATAAAATTTTTAGTAGACTGAAAGAATATTTCGCGACGATAGATACATCTCAACTGAGACTTAAAGCTCACGGAAAAAAATGTTTTGACTATGAGAATAATTTTTTTATTTATTTTATAGATCGAGATTTCGAGAGAAGAAAAACAAAAAATTGATACAACAATAAAAAAAAAATCATATAGATCAAGTCTCTTGTTCTCTGACGCCTTAAATTGAATTAAATTTCTCTCAATTGCATCAATAATGTACTTTTTTTGACACAAATCAAAACATCATATGTAGTCTCGAGTGGACGATCATAATTTATGAAAGATGGAACAATTTAAACGGCAATTGTGATAGGAACATGTATTTTTCAAAGTTAGAAGAACATAAAGATTTACAGCTATGTGGGTTTATATTCTATAAAACAGTTAACCACGTGCAACATGCTTCCCGCACATTTTTGAATTCAAAATAGTCCATATGTCTAACGTATGTATAGATCTCTCGTCAGTGACCTACGAAAGATTATTTTCTGGCGGAATTTAAAACCAAAGCGCTCAAATTGAAATTCCCCTGACGTTTTAAGAAAGATATAGATCGCGAAAATTTTTGAAAATTGCTATTCAGTGAACGCAAGTTACACAATCGATTAAAAATCATTGCATAAATTAATTTTCTTATCATATTAAGTCGCTTAAGCGTGAAAAATAATTGTCAAAGATGGAAAAATCTAAATTTGAAAATTCTGAACACTTATAGTTGTATTAGTAATATTTTATAAAAGCGAAAAAAGTTTTTATATACCGAAAAAAGTAAAGAAAAAGAACAAAATCTTATACTGGGTGTTTGCAAATAAACAATTAGAGACTTGTGCTTGTATAGTGCGAATAAAAACAAAAATATTTTTATATATTGGCGCGAGATATCCCTGACAAAAATCAGAACAAAAAGTAAAAAAAAAATATTTTTCAATAAAAAAGAGTTGTATAAAAATAGAAGCAGCTGAAATTGCTTTCAGAGATCAGCTGTACGAAAAAAATTCACACAATAAAAAATCGTTTAATTGTGTAATGTCCTTGGAAGTAGAAGCAACTCAAAATAAAAACAAATCAAAAGTGCGTGTACAACAAAGTAACATTCAATTCAAAAAGAGAATAAGTGTACATCCTGCTAGTATGTTCAGAATAAAGAAGAACTTGATAAAATCACCCAAAATGGTAAAATACTCTAGTGCCGGAGTACTAAGTTGCTTAAGACTCTTTTAAATGAATTAATTGCATATCCTTGCATTAATTTGATATAAAAAAGTTTAAAAGTAAAGTTAATTATAACAAAAAAGTTTGCATCGTAAAAGGTTTTTAAACCAAATTCGAAAGTTTGCTGCAACAAAATCAAAGTAAAAAGAAAATTTGAAAATAGTGAAGTGTGTGGTAAATAAGAAGAACTCACACAAATTAAGTCGAAAAGGAAACGAAACAAAAAAAAGTCGCTTAAGCAAGAATTTAATAGAGATCAGAAACAAGAAATCAACTAAAGATGAAGCTTTTGGAATCAACTCGTTTTGAAGCGATTAACAGCGCATTGACTATTCAAACTGGTGACTCAACAATCTTTGGTCGTATCGAGAGTTACAGCTGCAAGATGGCAGGAAATGATAAACAGCTATACAAGCGTTTTGTAACTCCCGATACACCATCCAGTGATTTGCAAGCATTGTCTCCACCGCAGACATTCATGGACATGTCTCCATTCTTTGGTCGTGGAAGCTACTCGGGAGATGAAGGTGTAACTTTGTGTGATACAATCTCACGCAAAACACTTTTCTATCTTGTTGCTACTCTAAACTCTGCATTTGAGCCTGATTATGATTTTTCAGATGCCAAGGTAATTTAACTTTTATGATCGGCGAAATGCTATAGCTTGTCATATGAAACATTTGTCTGCATCCATTAGTAATTAGTAAGCTCAAAAAACCTTTTTTATCGGTCAATTATCACGGTGAAATTCTCTACGAATATCATATTACCATTAAGTAACTCTGTCAAACAGTTCGTGTTTTAATGAATTAATAATATAAATAAAAGATAACACACTCAAATTTATTTGTTCCTTGCTAGTATGACATCAACAGTTTCACAGAAAATAATAATTTTGATGACCAAAAAAAAAATGAAGAAGTTCATATATAATCTGTTCTGTGCATGTATTGGTAGACGTATGAGAGGCATAAAATTTCATGTTGTGAACAAAAGAAAACAGACTAAAGAAATTGATGCCCTTAAACCTGTTTCAATTATGATGCATTCATCCTTCATGAAATTCTCCCTTTTGATCTCATTGCAAAGATTCTGCTTAACTTATGTCTAAATTACAGCCTTTATATAACTTTATGTTCTTTCCATTTTTTTAGAGTCACGAATTTAGCAAAGAGCCTTCCATACAGTTGATAATGAATCATATCGATTCAAACTTATCAGCTGTTGCTAGTGACCAGTATAAGAACTTGCAGATTCCTTTATGGACAACGATTGACGATGAAATTCAGTTGAATGATTGTGACATTTACAGCTACAATCCTGATTTGAACTCGGATCCATTCAGCGAACCTGGATGTTTGTGGAGTTTCAATTACTTCTTTTATAACAAGAAGATGAAGAGAATTGTGTTCTTTACATGTCGTGCTGTTAAGTAAGTTCACAAGAAATTATAATTTTAATGCTTTATTCTCATTAAATTGTGTAAGTCTATTTTGGCATAAACAGCCTTTTCTAAAAATAATCAACACTTTACACACAATTTCTGCTGCTGCTTTATTTTGTTTTTCAAATTTTTTTGTTTTTGGTTTACGTGAGATCATATACCTCCGTAAAGTTTCTCTATACTTCATCATTTTTGAGTGTATTGAGGCTATAAAGAAGAAAACTTACACACGAATCGAAAGCGCGATAATGAACAGTTTTATTTTGTTTAATAATAAATGCTCTTTGCAAAAAACAATCGGTGAATGTATAACATCTATCGGCAGCAGTAAATGGGTGCGCTAAAAAGAAGATATCAAAATGGCAATCTCGCTCGTTCTTTGACCTATTGCGAGGCTATAACTGCAAAACTTTTAGCTTTATCGCATGTTTACTTAATGAATTCTATTTTTAAGCAATTTGCAAATTCTTTTTTCCCAACTTTTTTTGTTCTTCTTTTTCGCAAGTAGGAAAAATTTCATTTTGTTGCATAACTGTGCTAGAAAATGAAGACGCTACAGGGGGTCATTAAAAATGACGTCGAACTTAAAATTTGCTGAATCTAAATAAGTTGGTTTTTGTGTGTCACAAATCTAGATCATCTCCGAACCTAAAATTAAGAACATCATTTGTGGATGACCCAGAGAAAATTTTCTTTAAATCTTTTATTAAGGTCGAAAAAGTATTGACTCAATGTCAGCCAATGTATGCACACTAAAAGCTATGGTTTTGTTTACAGATTGCCATCGATATCATAAAACACTGTGACGAAACAATCCACACATAAATATATAACTCTTTTTATATTTTTTATCGATTCGTATGAATTTATGGAATCGGAATTAAAAACTTTTCATTAACCGTTTTAATTCTATTTTTAGTCCAAATACAAGCTGCACAAGTGACTTTGCAATGGAAGAAGATGACAACTTCTTCTAAATGATGAGTGATTGGAAGGAACAATAGCAACATCATCCACATAATTATTCATCAACCTTATTCGATATTCAACTATTCGATTCAAAAAAAATCAAATTTTCAAATTTTTTCTTTTAAATATTTTTGATTGTCATTTCGGATTTAGTTTAAGACCGTGCATGTAGTCGATGGATGATGGCAGGTGAGAGCTGTGCGTGACACATCATCTATCTGACTTGTGCGCGATGCTGGCAAATAAGCTGCTGATTAATTTCTAGACTTAAGATTTCTTCAAATCAAATTGCATACTGCTTTCTTATATTAGATTAATAGATTAAACTTACAATTTTAATGGACGTAGAAAATAACAAGTGTTATAGATCTTGACTATATCTTTAATCTGACGATGGTTAATTACATCAATTAATATCAAAATTTAGGTTTTAAGTATCAATATCTCTTATGACTAAAGTAAATCAGAGTTAATGTGGAAATGAGACAAATCACTTTTATCTTATAATATAATCACAATTATGACAGGACAGGACAGGAGAAAAGAAAAGAATTCACTAACATTATTTTATCTACTCTCACAAAACATTCTCTGATAAACTTGAGTCAATCAGCAGCTCATTTTGCCCCTGTTTTTGTTTGCGCTCGACTATTTATTTGATATAAAAACAAACATAAAGATCTCAATCACTTTTATGACGTATAAAAATAATGGTGCAAACATTAACAGTCATTGTGGTTCACTCAATGGAGCAGGGTGACAATTCGTCACATGTGAGAACTGTTTTATTGACTGAGCAGCCTAGGTTTAAGATAACTTTTTAATTTTGTGTCTTCTTTTTTTTATCAATTTTTCGTTTATTATTCAATTTATTTTTAACTATTAATTTTTTGACATAAACAATTTATGAGACGATACGACCAGGAAAACAAAATGAATGTTAGAGCTTGCTCAAAGTCCATTCAAATATTTGCACTAGAATTCATGATATTCTGCACACGCTTACACAAAGATATTCCAATGCCATCAGACTCACTTTTAATGTTAAAACAAGGCTAATTATGACGAGATTTGGTCTATGAAAAGTGAATAAGATGAACTCGAATGACTTGATATTGTGATGCAAATTCAGCATGATATAAGTTGCACAACTTTATTATCAATAAAACTGACTTTTGTTTAGAATAAAGTTTTATATTTAAACATGCAAACTGAAGTAATCAGCCTTAAATAAATCGATTAATTGAATTAATGGTTAAATGACTCAAATTTGAATCAGAGTCTAAGTGGATTTCAAACTATTCTTTATTTATTTAAACTGATTTACTTCTTTAAGTCATTATAATTGGACGAAATAACTTAATTGGCTTTAATATTCATTTTGTTTATGGAATTTGAGAAGTTAATATTAGTGAGGAAAGCAAGGATTTAATTTTTGAAGCTAGCAAATTGTTAAGGACGAGAAATTTCAGCGGACACAGCACACGAGTGAAAAACTCTGGATGTGATAAAAATATTCTTTGTGATACTGAATCGAATCTGCTATGAAACAGCTAGGTCTACTTCTTAATGATATAACTGACTCTTGCGCAAGCAATGGTCTATATTTTTCAAAATAAATAGCAAGTTCAAGGTTTATCAATCAGACGAATGACCTTCAATAAAATATTTCGTCTAATTCACTCGTGTGTGTTCTGTATGATAATTTTTTGCTTACCTATATCAATTTAATTTGGGAACTGAGAATTAAGTAATAATTTTGATTTGATCGAAATTTAGCAAGGAACAGATTTAATAATACACAAAAGTTAATTCATATAAGTGTCTAAAAAAATGGCATTATTCGAGAAACAAAACAATTAAAATTAATATTAAACGAACAGAAATTACGAAAAAAAAAGTTTATTTATGTAGATCTACTTTATACCTTACACAAATTTTTATTACATATATTTTACAAAATAAGCGTGTGGTACCTTATTATTTCAAAAAGATACATATTATCAATTTAATAAGCAACAAATCATTAATTATACAAGAAAATAAGAAACTGAAAAGTTCAAATTTTTCAAAATCATATTTTCAATTATGACGAACTGCATGTTTAATAGATGTAATTTCATTATACTTTGTCTCATCATTTACAATTTTACCTACTTATATTATCACTATAGTTTATAAGTTTAGTTTTTTCTTCTTCCCTATCTTGCTGAAAAATTACAAAATGTCAAAAAAAAAATCAATAAAATGTATTTCGAAAAAAAAAAGTTTTAAGGCTTCCTTTTCTATTCTTACTTCCAATTTTAATTTTTATTTAATTTTTCAGATTATTGAATACAAAAAGGATTAATTAATTAATTAATTCACACATCCATCCATTCATCTTAAGCATAAACTTTCTTCAAGCGACGATTCAAGTCCTCAAATTTCAATATTTTACGAATGAAGAAATCGCCATAACGATGAGAAACTTTTGTATCGGCAATATGTATCATGTTGTTATCAATGTAGAAATCTAATTCTGAACCTGACTGGAATTTACCTTCTATTCCACTTCCTTTCGTGCAAACGACATTATTCATCTTGTGTTTAAAGCATAGAAGTTGAGTTGACAATTTTGATACAGCACGATCATGATCTCTATCTCCATTACGATCATTTTTATCCATAAATGATGCCAATTTGCTGAGCGGTAAAGTTGTATACAGCTTCAAGTAGGAACGAATTGTTGGTAATTCTAATTGTTGCTTAACTTCATCCATAAAAACTTGTGTCTGATGTTCTAATGGCTCCTTAACATAATCATCTTGGGCATCAAATGGTGGTGCACAAGGTGACACGAATTTAGGGCAAGCAAAGATGAAAAAGTTCCTAAAGACTTCCATATCACCGCACTGCATCTTGTACATATTATCATTGTAGTTCTTTTCACGCAAGACTTGTTGGATGGATTCATCGATACATTGTGGATGCAAGACTAAACAGATTGCCAATAAATGATACATTTGTTCAGTTTGCTTGTTAATTTGATCATTCTGGTACGAGCGTGAACTATACAATTGCTTAGTGCGCTGGATATACAACAAGATTGATGTAAATGTTCGAATAGCATCAGAATAACGACGCATCATCATGTATGCAAATCCAACATAATACGAAGTTGAGATTTGACAAGCAGGAACGTGAGTGTATTGACTTTTTTTACTGATATCAATTGGTTCCAAAATCTTGATTGCAAGATGATAATCTCCGAGCAATGAATGGACACGAAGTAAGCCAACCAAGCTAAAATAACCGAGCATTTTATACAACGATAAGTTGCCATGCTCACCTGCAACTGTAGCTGGATCTTCTCCTCTTGCAGTTGCTTCCAATTGCTGCTTGATATTAGACATATCGACCAAGGAATGAAGAACATTGAGGAGACACAAAATATTCCAAACTCGGGTATTGTTTGGCTCTGCCAATTTTTCAAGCTCATCATCAGTCTTGTCAGTTAAACGAGCTCTGTATTGTGTGTAATTCTGGAATTGATAAACGAATTCATCAACAAGTTCCCATAACCAAATATCAGGAAGTTCCAAATCTTGAGGTTTTTGCAGGAAAATGATGTTGAAAAATTCACAATAATTGTAGAATGATGCTACTCTCTGCTCAAATTGTGGACCGCCAAGAACCCTTGCATGAATATGACGATAATATAATTCCTTATAAAGCGTCATAAACAATTCATCCTTGTCGACAAGTTCAGCTACTTCCTTTTCTTCTGGCCATTCTTTCTTCTCAAAATACGTCTCACTTAACTTCGGGAAGCTGTTTTCATACAAGTTCTGTATGCTGTAAACATCGCACTTCTGAATTGACTCGTATAAATACAATAGAAAATTTTTCACTAATTCAGGAATCGTGTTTGTTGGATAGTAGTTATTTTGATCGTATTCATCGTAGTTGTCTTGTGCTGGATAATCTTCGTATTCCGGATCGTAAAAGTCGTTTTGTGAATACATTTTAAGACCTTAATTCACTGCAATTCACTTAGAAATTTAATAAAATTATCTTTTTTGCTCAAAGAAAACTTTTGAGCATGTGGCAGAGAAATCCAAATGGACAATAGCACCTTTTTCAAGAAAACTCTGTAATTTAATTTCAAATTTTAAATGACGGTTATTTATTGCACGTTTTCTATTGCACATCAACTTACATAAATGAAAGATAATTAAGTTAATTGAAATTATTGGAACTAGCGCCACACTCCAAAGTTGCCTGCGTAGACTCAATGAGGAGATTAAAATCAATCTCATTTAACGAAATCTTTCCTGTTAATAATTCCAGCAAAGTATTTAATGGTGGAATATTGTAAGAATTGGCATTTCCTAAAAAAATACAAAAAATATATCCATGATGTGAGCATATTTTATTCCCAAAATATGATGCAACAAATTAAAGCATTTGATGTATAAATCATAACAAAAAAAGTATATGAGATAAGCTTAAATAAATGAATAAATAAATAAATTAATTAGATTCGAATAACTGCTGTGCAATTGATAATAATTTGGTTGGAGTTTCGTTATAACACAAAATGATAATTATTAATAAAATACAAATAATGACTAGTAAAATTATGCAAAACCATGCGACAATAAATATAAACAATTTTTTAAAACTAAAACAACATGAAACTGAGTCTCTTACAGAAACTTGAGACTCCAATTCTTCTTCCGACGACATCGACGATGATTCTAATGATGATTTATTATGACTTTTCTCTACTGCATACCACATATCATACCAATTTGTGTCTAAACTTGACTCAATGTCTGTGATTTTTTTTAAAAATTTAACAACGTTCATGCAAAATAATAATGAAAAACAGTCAAATTATTAATTTTTAATCATAAAGCATGAATGAGATTTTAAAACATCCATAAACATTCACTGAAAAATTTTGAGTCACCTATTGGATTTGTATTCCTGCTACTTGACAACGACATTGATCGACCTGCTGAATTTCCAGACAAAACATTCGACGAATGATCAATCCCACGGATCCTCAAACTTATCGGATGTGACCAATTGTTAAGAAGTCTTCTTGCTCTGGTTCTGGGAAGTAATGATAATAATAGTAGCTTCCTTGCCACACCTTCATTTGTGTCTGGAATATCTGAAATGATTTAACGTTTTTCAAAAATTTAAATGAACTGAACTGAAATGAACTATGGATTTTTGAACAGTTTTTGTTGAATTTCAAATTTAAAAAGTTTGTTAAATCAAGACTTGACTTGATGCTTACCACTCATAATATTCTTCATGACATCAATTTGTAGTTCAAAAACATGCCTCTGACAGTATTCAATAAATTCTTCAAATTCTAGAGATCTAAATCCTAAGTATGTAAAGAATGATGAAAATCCTTGTGGCAATGGAAATGACATAGATTCAACAGCAAGTACATATCTCTCGAGCATTAAAAATAGTAAATATCTTTGGGGGATGGAGAGTTTATCGATCAAATTAAATCCACGTTCAATTTCGATGCGAGCATCGATTCCAGCAGCACGACACACGAAGATGCACAAAAGACGGGAAACTTCCAATTGAGCAGTAACATATTTTGTTGAGACAGCATGCACAAAAGTTGGTGCTGTCGGTTCGTAATCTTTAAGCCATCTAAATCCAGTAACTTGCTTCACACTATGTTTCACCAAGTGCATGCTTAATTCACGTAAATTGACTGAAATTACGTGTTCCTGTTTACTTGCTGTGCACGTTTCGAATTCTAAAAATGGCAACATATCATTTTGATTTCTTTTCGATGAAGTAAATGAGTTAATAACATTTAAATCACTCATCATGGACGTAGAACTGCTTGGTGTCATCAATGGTGTTGTGGCACGACTTAATGCCTCTGGCTGATAGCAAGCTAGTGAATACATTAATTTCTCTGTTACTTGATCGCAACAGAATCGCTGCTTTGAATCTTTTTTGTCATTAAGACGATCATAAAGTCGTGTCCACATGTCTTGACGATACGGTGACAATCTTTGTTGAGAGCTCAGCAATGTCATTGCTGTATTATGAAGAAACTCATGAGATAATCCAACATTGAGATCAAAAACTTTAGCCTGTAATGGCTTCGATGTGTTGCATGTTGTTAATGGAAGGAATTTAATTAATGCAGCAGCATCTTGATTCAATCCTTTTCGTAATGATGAATATGTGCCTGCAACTAGTGCTTCTTTTAATAAACTAACAGTATCTAGACTCAATGGATGCTCCATAATAATATTTAATAATTCAGCAAAGATATCAATGTCATTGTAATGGACGAGGAAATAATGAATGATGCTTAAACGATTATCAATAGATGTGTCACTTTTGAATGTATCAATTAAGTGATTTTTAGGAATTTGTATTGAAATAAGATCAAGTGTTGCTGAATCAAAGCATATTGAATTAAAAATTGGAACAAGATGTGTGACTTCTTGTTTAGTAAAAGGTTGTGCAACTATGTGTCCACATGGCTCATGTTCAAGTCCAATATCCAGTACATTAATGAATAAACCAGCTTGAAAGACAAGCATGTATTCATCTACGAGAGAAAATGTCGGTTTCATAGACTTTGCCTTTTCCCAAGCTATTCCAGGAATAATACAGTGCAGAACGAGACTAGCTGCAACCATTGTAACTGAATATGCAAAATGTACTTCTTCAACACTCGATTGATCTTCATCTTGCTGCCTTATTGGCTGATATAAGTAGTAGTGGCAAATGAATATGCCTTTATCATCATCAGTTATTATTATCAAGTTCAAGGACGAGTCATGGACTCTTAATGGAATTGTATCGTCTTCATATTCAGAGCATTTACTTGATGTTGGCATTTTGGGCAGATTCAATGGAATGTTTAAGACTGTTTCATGTGGTAAATCATCATGAAATTGTAATGCTGAAAGTGATGGATTCAAAGCTTTATCGTTTTCTTCTAATGATGTTCGAGATGACTGCTTTAAATTAATATAAAATAGACTTTGAATCTTTGATTCCCATTGACACCAAATGAAATTCTTGACAGGCGTATCAATTTTAATCATAACTTTATCGTAATAATAGTTACTTTCATCACCAATTTCCTTCCTTAATACTAAAGTATAGAGATAAATACATTCTTCATGGATCATCAATAAAAAACGATCTTGACTATTTCGTTGCTGCTTATACCATAAAAATTGAACTAAAACTTGCTTGGATCTTGGTACATCAAGTAACTCTTTCGGTTCCGCTGGATTCTTATTCTTAATTTCGACTAGAAATGCTTTATAAACAAACTTAATTCCATTCGATTCATCTGTTTCACAATTATCCGTCTGTATTTGATCCTTAAGAACATACAGCAATAAAGATCTTGTGCAATTAACGGATGCCTGAATGACATTCTTAACTTCAGTAAATTTGTGCAAAATTTCAAAATTCTTCTCCTTAATGTTATATCCACCGACCATTGAGACATTATTGCCTTCCTGATTCTTTGATATCCAGCTTGTTAATATTGTCCCGTCTCGTTCTTGACCCAATATTCTGAATTCATTGGCTGATTCTAAAGGATTGACATTTTTGTTGACATTGTAAAATTAACATAATGTAAAGGAATTTTATGCTTTTCATACCTTTGAATCCTTTTTGAGCAAGCAGACCACAGAAATTGGCAGCAAGATTCTCTTGTTTTAGCATTTTTAATGCTTTTTATTGCACTTAAAAGCCTTAACAGCATTAAATCATTTCCAATTTGTACAAAATTATCGATCTGACTGTCCTTGTGCAAATTTAATCCGATTTTGCTATACTTTTCATCAAATTTAAGCATTATTGTTGGATTTGTATGTACATAGATAAAATATAGCATGTAATTAACGATTGAATAAGTAATAAGAATTGTCATTAAGGAGAAAGGCTGAAAAAGGAAGAAAATTGTAAAAGATTCCTGACTAGAATGTTTACAAGGGAAAAGTCGCTGGAGTAACTGTCAAAAATAATTCAAAAAGAAAAAAGTGTAAAAAGTTTTATCGGCTTCTGTTAAATAATTAATTTAAGGTAAATTACAGTCAATTTAAATAGTTAAATGCATTAAAATGATTGGTAAGAATTGTATCAACTTGGATATAATGGAGAATAGGAAGGTTTAGATATAAAATATTGAGAAAAGTTGATTTAAAAAAATTTCAGTAATGGAGATCTAGCAAAAATCAATGTGCTTTGCAAAAAAATTTCATTTTTGGAAATTGCTATAATTAAATGATAAGGACGCTTACTTATTTATAAAAGTCAGTGAAGATAACTATTCATTGTTGTGTATCGATAAATGCGTCGCATGAAAATCAAGTAATTTAAGTCACTTTTTCTTCTTCCTTTTCATTCCATGAATGATTAATTAAATAAATACATATTAACAGCAACAGTGAGATAGTTGAAGTAATTTTTCTGAGATAATGTTTAGCTAATCTTATCGCAGAAATGGCTTCAGTTATTGCAAAAAAATGGTTAGCATCGGTTATTTTTCATAGCAAGCAAGCAAGCGTTCAGCTTCTTATTATTCTCTTCCATCAAAGCAAGTTCTTTCTCAAATTTCTGAGTTTTATATTTCTTTATTCTTGTGTTCGTTTGTTGCCTTGTTGCTAAGAGCTCTCCTCTGTAAAAAGGAATAAAAAGAAAGAAAGAATGGAAAGCATCTTTGATGATGCAAGCTTTATCGATGCATATATGCTCGACTCTCGGGCTATAACTTGTAATTTTATTTATTTTCTATAAGTAATTCTCAGCTTTTCTCACGTTTTGCAATTTCCAATCAAATTTTTTCAATCAGCCACAGCACTCGATTTTATTGGATGTTGTTTTTGTTGCAACAAAAGAAGAGTAAAAAAAGACCATTTTTGTAGAGAAAAAAAAGATTCGTGTATATTCTTCCAGTCTATACATAACTTTTCTCAGTAATGTGGCTATGAAAAAATAAAATAAGTAAGAAGAAGTACCACAAAAGTTATAAAACGACATATTAGCACTTTTAAACTCAAATTGTAATTCTTTTTCTTGTGCTTAGTCGTTGCTGTCTCTTTAAAGATCCGGTAAATTTTTAAGAAAATATACCTAATAAATGGTCCAAAAAAAAAAGGTTTTCTTTTTTTCCTCATCGTCGCATACACAGAAAAACGACGATGAAAAGCGAATGATGATGATGGATCAATATTTTTATCCAAAAAAAATTTTTCTTCTTTCCTTTCGCAGATTTTTTTGTGTGTTCTTTAAGTTCCTCAATGTTTAAGATTATTCAAAGAAATTATGAAATTACGAAAGTAAATCGTGTGTTAAGCACGGACAAGAAACAAAAAGACAAGCAATATTAATGGAAATTTTTAATTTTATATGTCGGATTCTCTAGCATTTAAAGGCAGAGAAGTTTAAGTTTTAAAAAAAAGAAATTCATTAAATTATAAGCCAAAAGAATTTAAGTTATAAAGGAAATAGAAATAATCTCTATTAAGATGGCATCACAGTCACAAAGTAGTAATCGCGAATTTGTCGAGAATTGGAATCTCGCTCAGACTCTTGGTGAAGGCGCTTATGGAGAGTAAGTTAAATAGTTATTCTGCGAATTCAAAGATTTAATAAGCTTAACTTTACCATTTCATTTCGCATTTCCTTCAATCAGGGTGAAATTGCTCATAAACAGGCAGTCAGGAGAAGCTGTTGCAATGAAAATGATTGATATGGAAAAACATCCAGACGCAGAAGCTTCAGTGAAAAAGGAAGTTTGTATTCAGAAAATCCTCTCACATCCAAATATCCTCAAGTTTTTTGGAAAGAGAACGCAAGGATCAATTGAATATATTTTCCTCGAATATGCAGCAGGCGGAGAATTGTTTGATCGAATCGGTATGCATAAAAATATATACTTACCTACTTTATATATATATATATATATATATATATATATATGTGAAGGGACAATCAAATAAAGTAACTTAATGTATTCGTTCCATTTCTCCTATTTTTTTTTTACTTTTAATATATTCAATTTAGAGCCCGATATTGGCATGCCATCAACTGAAGCGCAACGATATTTCAATCAGGTATTAGCTGGTGTTGAATATTTACATACGAGAGGAATCGCTCATCGAGACCTTAAACCAGAAAATATTCTACTTGACGATCATGACAATATTAAAATTTCGGATTATGGAATGGCAACTGTATTTAGGTAGATAAAATAGGTACAAATGGAATTTTCCATTATTTAATTCTTATTTTTGTCTTGCTTAGTTCTCCTTAAAAAAAAAATTACAAAAGACCTCGTGTTTTCGATCGAGGGTCAGCTTAAGCGCATTTTTGACGCAGCGATCAGTATTTAATTAATAATTTGTTGCAATTAGTTCTCATAAAAAAGATTTGTTATTTAAAGGTTTTTTGAATTTAAAATTTTTCATCGGTAGAAATAAATTCGAATTTCTAAACGCACTAGTACAATTTTTAAAACCTTAGGAAAATTTTCAAATTTCTTTATATGAAATAAAAAATCATTAATTATAGGACAAAGTATTTTATGCTTCAAAAATATTGTATCGGCCAATAACTCAGTAGAACTGAGCATTCTACGATGTCTGGTTAAAAATTTTTTGATATGCTTCCAACGAACAAAGTGATAATACACAGAAAACAAGTTTTAAAAATGCGCTAAATAAGAGGCTTGCAAATACTTTTTATTAAATTTGTATTAATTTCCAATCCAAAACAGACTCAAAGGCAAAGAGAGGATGTTGGACAAAAAGTGTGGAACATTGCCATATGTAGCACCAGAAGTTCTCGTGAAACCGTACTTTGCACAGCCCGCAGATCTTTGGTCTTGTGGAATTATCTTGGTCACAATGCTTGCAGGAGGTAAGTCACGAAATTCACTTTTTAATTTTTATTGCTTACAATTTTTTTGATTTTTGCAAAAAATGTATTAACAGCATAAATTGATATGATGCACAAAACTGTATGAGATAGTGATTATAATTTTTACATGATTTTTCTTGTGGCTGAATATTGTGTTTGGTGTGATTAATTATGATTTTGACTATGAGAAAAAAAAATACCAAAGGAAATAATGCCAATAGCTGTGTGTTTAATTGTATCGCAACTTAATCTAATTTGGAAGCACCAGAAAGAAGATAACCAAAGAAAATCGCTGGCTCTTTGGTATTCTAGCTGTAGATTTAATTCTAGCACATACTTTTATTCATTATTAGCTATTCTAAAGCTTTAATACCAGAGGTCTAGAGATTTCTTAATTAATGAAATTCTTTAATTGAGTGAAAAAACCTGATGTTTGCTTGCCTGTGCCTGCTGATGACCTTAATTATTAATTTTCTGTTCCTTATTCTAGTTTCAGTGATATAATTATGATTTTCTTTAATATTGAAATGCACATTGAAATTGAATGAAAAAAAAAATAGTGAATTATTGTTTTAACTCCCTAAAAGTTTCTATTCTATTATGATTTCGACCCCATAAATTATTATTGTAATTAATCAACCGTAAAGGATCTTATTATTTCATAGAAAAAGACACCTTTACTCGGGGTGCGCCAATAGAATAGGACTGTTTTTAAATTGTCTATTTTGCATATTTTTTAACTTAACACATGAATGGCTTTTGGAATTGACTTAAAATTGTAATTTTTAGGCCTTTGAATCCATTCAAATCTTATCAAAATCGCAAGATTCAACTTGAATCATTCAAGTCTAGATTAGTTTAAATCTCGAGATTAATTTAAAACTTAAAATTTAAGCCCAGATTAATTTAAATCGCAAGGTTCAAGTCCAGATTAGTTTAACGTTAATTCCTGTTAATACAAGTCGAGTTCTGTCCTAAACCCTTAAATATCCATTCAGAAAGCCATTCTCGAAAACGTGCTTGGAAAAAAATCGCAAATAGCTCTGAGAAAACTGCAGTCAATATTCTATTGACTCACTCCGAGCTATACCTTTATGGAACAATAACAATTTCATGTTATGATTATGAATGTAACTAATTTTTATTTTCGTTTATCTTTCTTTATCTCGTTCGGTTGGAAATAAAAATAATAAAAAAATATGATACTAAAAGAACTGCCGTGGGATCAACCAACATTAAGTTGTAAGGAGTATCTATATTGGAAGGAAAACAAATATACAACACTAACGCCATGGACAAAATTAGATACATTTACGTTAAGTTTTATACGAAAAATTCTAGTTCCAAATCCTGAGAAGCGTTTAACGTTGGAAAAGATAAAGCAACATAAATGGTGTCAGAGTCAAGCTTTAACAACAGGTAAGTGTGTTGCAAATAAACTTATGTGTATACGTATGTGAATGTGTGCTTGGTTTCTAATGGAGAGGTGAAAGTATCCTTCAAACATGAATGTAGATTTATACTTATTTCTGCTGATAAAACCTTCCTATTCCCATAATCCCTTTTTCCATACACAAAATATAAAAATCGGCATTTTCCGATGACTCAGAAGTAAAAAGAGTCCTTAAAACTTGGCTGATAAGAATAATAAAAATGTAAAGCTAGAGAAAATGAGCAATCAACATTTTAACCCTCAGAAAAAGCATGCGCTTTAGAATATTTTATCAGGACATCGACTGTGATATAAAAGGGATGGAAAGTGAAGGGAAATGAACATTTTTTTAATGTTGTGGATGTATGTGTGTCTGCGAAAACAGCAAGTTTCTCCTTCTATCAGGTACTGCGTGACTCTCAGTTTGGGAATTTTTTTATATTTTTCCGATTAATGTTGATAGCAACACAAACTCACACAACTAAACAACCTCCAGTTGCTTCCCTTACTTTTATTCTTCATCCGTTCGTTTCGTTCGTTTGTATTGTGCGTTGAGAATGTGAATTGGAAAGTTCATTGTCAGTTCCAATCCATTTTCATTTTATGTACAATGAAAAAAAAAAAAAACGACGACAACGACGGGAAGAAAAAAAAGGACCTTCGGATTTTTCATAATATTCTGAGAGTAACGCGGTAGCTGGCAGAATGGGAAGTATTTCATCAGACGCCATCATTGGTACGGAAAAAAAAGTTAACAAAAAGTGAAAAATATAATTTTGTGGTCTTATTTGCAGTTAATAGTGAAGAAAATATCAAGAATTAATCAAGAAGTCAAGATTGAAGATGATTTTGAAATTCAAATTATTTAGGACTTAATGGTTGATCCGTAATTTAAGAAAATAAAACTTGCTATATTAGTGAAAATTTTCCCATTTTCAATTTTGAGAAGAAAATACATAAAAGAAAAATGGCTGCAAAGTGAAAAAAATTTTTTTGTTCTCCTTTTTGATCCTTATCGCTGGTTAAATGGTGTACAGCACAGAATTGTGGTCGAATTAATGCCAATTTTCATTGCTTTGGCGATTTAGCTGTATGATTGATTTTTTGATTTCATAAAGCTAGATTACCAAAGCATTGAATTTTAAATGGCGCAAAGCAACAAGAGAAAAAAGAGAAGCGCTCAAGTCTCACACTACCATTTAAATTCAAGTCAGCACCATCAATCAAGCCAAATGCCACCCATCCTAAAAATGGAAAAGAAAATTTTGTGTATGTGATGAAAATTTTTTTCAATTGCTGCGTGCTTTTTCTTGATGGGGGAAAAAAGTGTACAAAAAAAATAAAAAGTAAAAATATATTGATTTTCCTGATTCCTTATTACATTTTGCCTTATCAAAATGCATAATTCCTTTCCTCAAATTTACTTTCATTTTATTTGTTTATTATTTTATTCATCGGGTTGTGCGTTGATATATATGCTACCTGTTATTTCCCAAAATCAGTTTCGTCACTAGCTTCCAGAGTTGTTAATATCTATATTCTTTAATTTACTTGTTTTCTGAATTAAGTGTCATTGTAAATTTGAATTTATGATTTCTTAATGAACTTTTAAAATTCAAATTTTAACAGACCTTTTGAATTTGAAATTTTAAACAACCTAAGTTGTTCGATTTGAAAATTTGAAAGACGCTAAAATTTTTAAAAAAATATAACAAGGACGAACAACCCTGCTATGAATCAAGAACTTGCTTATTTGTTGAGCAAATGATGGCAGAAGCGAAATTATTGTTTAGTTTTATGATTATCACTTTCGATTTGTTTGGTTTTTGTGTCGTCTGGTGATATTTTTGTTCTAACTTTAACAGATCACCAAGTACCACGCAATGTCTTGATTTATGAAATTGTTTTATAAATGACACGGAAAATTTGATTGTTACTGATTGGCTCCGTCTTTTTCTGTTTCTTTTATTTTCAATTCTTCGACGTTAATTTTATTTTAGGCATGTCGAGAGATATATGCGATGGATTGGCGTCACCAATATCCAAGAGATTAAAATCGAATCAAGACTTGTACAATACGAATCTCGACGATTCTCATGCGCGAATGTACAGTCACTCTCAACCTCCATTAATGATGTCATCTGATGACTGCAAAGCAGATCTGATCTCGGTTGAGGCACGAAATGATTACTGCTTTAGTCAACCGACAATGCTTGATGATCTACTAATATGTACCCAACTTAATGCAACTCAGGGATCTAATGCTAATTCGAATCCATTCCAAAGACTTGTTAAGCGTATGACGAGATTCTTTGTTTCGACAAAATGTGATGATACAATTAGACGACTAACTTCAGTTGTAGATAAATTCGGATGGACTTGGAAGCTTAATGACGATAGTTCTGTAACAATATCGACATTAGATAGACGAAAATTACAGCTTACATTTAAAGCTAATCTCCTCGAAATGGACGGAAAAATCCTTCTCGACTTTAGATTATCAAAAGGCTGTGGACTTGACTTTAAGCGTAACTTTGTAAAGATCAAGAACTCTAAAGAAATTGCTGATGCCGTTCTCAATATTCCAGTGAATTTTTCACTTGCAACTCAAGTTGCGTAAGATACCTGACAAAAAAAAAGCATGAGCTTGTTCATCACATATAACAATTTGAACATTCTAGTATAATAATAAGTGTTTTTAATTAAAGCATGTTATAACTATAAGTGTGTTGAAAAGGATCAAAAGTTGTTCAAACCATGACTATGTTTTTATAAAAAAAAAGCTTTATTCATATCAATAAATTGACTTTTATACTATTTAAAAATCTTTTTTTTTTTACTGTCTTTTCCTATGAGATTTTCAGGAAAAGCAAGTTGCATTTATGACAATTTGAGGATTTTAAAAATGACAATAAAGAAAAGCTAATCTCAGTCGTGAATTATTTAAAAGAATTAGACATATACGGAAAAATTTAATCCACACTAGCTATGTTACAACTGAAATGAAATAATTGTAAAATTTATGTAAATATTGAAAAATTTATCTCAAAGGTTTTTATGCAGTTTGAAATAGTTTAAGTACTTTTTCAGTCGGCTTTTCCTTTTAAAAAAGATAAATACATGGAAAAGTAAAGGTCCTTTAATTTAAATACGGACCATAATAATAATAATAATAATAAAATTTGGGGATTACCTTTTTTCGAAATTAAATTCAACGGTTTTGAAAAATTCAAATATTTTCGAAATGTTGAGAAAATTGTTATTTTCGAATAAAAAAATGGTGATTATCTGAAATTTTTAAAAATGCTTTTAAAGTTGGTTGTAGTACTTGCTTTAATGTTTAAAATAGTATTAAGTTATAGTAGTAATAATGTTTTTATCAAATCAGAAGTGCCTAAGCTCAATTTAAATATCACAAAAGCAAAAACTGACAATATTAAGTTATTGGAAAAATTTATAGAATCCAAGCTAAGAATAGTGAAAAATGAGGAACTGCTTGTGCCTATCGTGCAAGAAATTGTGGAATCATGGACTTTTAGTGAGAACCTGTCGACAGATGCTGAAGATTTAGAAAAAATCTCGTCGTCAATTAACTCGAAAGTTCAACCAGCAATAAAGATTATTAAAGAGATTTGTAACTTTTTGACTAATAAGGAATACAAGAGACAAATCTTTTATAGCTTAATGAATCCATGTCCATTAAATGATAAGATTGATTTTCGTATAAGTCATTATTATAATGAGATTTTACACAATAATTTCACGGGTGAAATTAATCTAAACATCCTTAACGATCGTAACTTGATTTTTCACAACTTTTTGATTGAAAACATTGAGAAGTTCTCAACATGGCAATCTTATCGTCAGTATTTTTTATCTACCGCAGATAATGGAAAAATTGAGAATTGCAATAATATGCCAGAGATTCCGGCTTTTCCAAGAATCTATACAAATACAATTATCAAAAAAGTATTAATACTATTAGTTGATCAGACGTCTGAACAAATTGACATAACTAGGAGTGTTATGAGATCTATGATCTCAACTTTAAACGACAATGATAAAGTATCGATAATATTGATTGCAGCAGAAAAAGTTACAACCTTTTTATCGCGACAATCATGTAGTACAAATGAAACTATCGTTTCGGTATCGTCAGGTATGAAATCAAAGATTTATGATTTTATTGATAACATGAATCGAACGACTGGCATTGCAAATCATTCAAAGGGATTTTCTTATGCATTTGAGATCTTTGATAAGATTTATAAGGAAACAAATGCTTATGCTATTCTTCCGATAACATTTTTGTACGTCAGCGATGGTGTTATATCGTTATTAAGTGATTCACGGAATGTATTAGCTGAAATTAATGTCGGACAAGCTAGACTTCCATATCCAGTGATTATTAATACTTGTGCTACAATTAATAATTTCCGACAAATCCCATATCAGACTCAATTCCTTCAAGATATTACCTCACAGAATTTTGTAAAATATGGAATTGACACATCGACTTGGTGGCATCGTAAAGGCGATAGAAACTTAATTGGAAAAATGTTTGTCGTTAACAGAACAATGGAAAACTTAAGTAAAATTCCAATGAGCGTGACTACTGAGCTTTTCAAGTACAAGAACTTTATTAATAATCAACTTACAATTCACTCGCCATACTATGATAATGCCATGAGCAATGACTTTGTCGTGAGCATTACAAAAAGCTGTGATCAGCGTGGCATTTTTGGCATAGACTTATTCTTAAACTATTTAATTGAAGATGTCCTTTACTCAAACAATGTCAATAATTCTTATAAATTTCTACTTGACATGAAAGGCTACGCATTGACACATTCATTGTTCTATCCACGACCAGTAATTTTAAAACAGTCCTTCCATCCAGTTCATATTACGCTTCTCGAAAAGAACAAAGGATTTAATGAAGCAACATGGCTGAAGATGAAAAGCGAATCAAGTGGAAATGTCAAGTTGGAAAATTATTCCTACACATGGACACGCATTTCCGACGTCTTAATTGCTTGCATTGTAAGAAATTTCAATGAACAGAAGCCAAATGTGCTGCAAAAAATTAAAACATCAAATAGTGCTGATCAGTCAAAACATTTATCTGAATTGATTTTTCATCGTTTGGATTTAATGCTCCCATCATCCTCATTAAATGTTTGTTTATATTACAAGCAAATCGCTACATTTGATGCCATTGCTTTACATTTATCGTCAAAAGCATTTATATCACCATATGCGCATATTAAAAATAGCAAAATGAGTGAAAATGATGACTCGCAGGCAGTACAAAATTTCATGGCATATTTGAGGGATACGAGAAACTTGTTTGCGAATCCTGGTCTTGTTGATAATATTCGACAGGAAGTCTTTGGCATTTATCAGATTATGGATTTCCTTAAAAAGAAGCATCTCGAATCTGATTTGAAAAAGTATGTCATTAGACGATATGCAGCTAGTATGAATGGAGTTCTTCAAATCTATCCAGCATGTACTCTTGATGCAAACTTTGAAGCATCTCGACGACCTTGGTTTGTTAAAGCAATGGAATCAAAAGGCAAAATTGCTATAACAGAGCCTTATTTGGATGTCGGAGGTGCTGGATATGTAATAAGCATATCATATGCTGTTTATGAAAAGAGATATTCAGGATTACAGAACAGAACATATCAACCAGTCGCTGTAGTTTCTATGGACTTGACTAGAGGATTTTTCTATAAAATTCTAATCGATTCTCATTCAATTTGTGGATCTGACGACATTAAATGTATTCTTATGGACGATAAAGGATATCTCATTGCTCATCCAAATATTATGGAACAAACAACAGAACATTTTAGACAGCCAGAACACATTACTCATCGTGAATCCCATGTTGCTAATGACATACTAATGCAGAGGAAATTTGTCGAGAAAATAGCTTGCAATAATTACTTAAATGGAACTTCCCAACGATTTTATCAATTTAATACGTCAATCAACGAAATAATCACAAATTTTGCCAATGTCGAAAAGACGAAATATCAATTAATGTCCTTAAAAGGAACAAACTTATTTGTCGGAATTATAAATTCGTCATCGGAAACAAGCGGTGCTTTTTGTCCTTGCTCAACGATTGATTTCCGTTGCTTAAACTGCTTTAGAATGGAACAAAATGAATGCGAATGTCCATGTGAATGTAAAATTGATGAGATCGATAGCTGTGCTATTGATCAGAATACAATGTCCAATTCAATGTGCTTTCAACAAATTGAATATATTCAGAATTATCAGCAACCTATAATTAAGGAAAATATCGATACATGCAATTTGCACAGCTGCGACATTTTTGCTGAGAAAGAAGACTGTCTTGGCGTTGTTGGATGCATTTGGTGAGATACTTACTTTTATTATTTTAACGTCTTAAATATCTTCGAATTTTACGGGTCAGAAAAAAAAATAATTAAAAACTATGTTTAATAAACATTATTTTTTGACTGTTAAATTTTGAACTTTAATATTCTTCTGAAATCCTCAAAATATGTGTTTATGAAAAAATAATGGAAGCTCATTTAATTTAACTAATGTAGGTGCCATACAAATGACGACGATACTCCACTTTCTTTACCATTCTGTGCATCAGAGTCGACGTGCTATAATGGAATATTCGGATCAATTGGTGATGGATATGGAAATATTGTTATAGATCCAGTTATAAATTATAATTTTATTCCACCTACATATTCCATTATTCTACCCATAATTGGAGTGATTTTACTGTTATTCTTAGTCGTGGGATTTGTCATGTATTGCTATAGAATAAACTATGATAATAATGGATTTGGCGAGCACCTGTATGACTCACAAGATAATAATTGTATTGGAATGATGCAAATGTCTCGATTTGATTATGATGATCCGCCATTAGAAGACCATCAAATGAGTAATAATTTGAATCAGAGCTTATTAAGAGAATCAAATGAGAATGCAATAATTTCAAATATACAGTCGCCCTACAGAGTAGCAACAAACTATATTCGACAGCCAAATTATACAGACTCATCAGATCACGGATACTCTACTATGGGAACTCATCAAGATGATTCATCCGAACCACAACCTCATTCAGCAGCCAGTAATCGACAGAACAGAAGATTCTCATTATCAGATTCTGCCTCAATAAATACATCAATTTCAAGTCCTCAAAATGTACAACCTTATGATCCTATATCCTTATCAACTCCACGACATATTGTCAACCATTTTCCATCTGCCGATCAAACGATTTTATCACCAAAAAAATTATCACCACATCAAGTAATTGCAGAAGTAACCGTTCATAGACTAATGGACTGAATATAGCTAATAATAATGTAAACAATTCTTTTTATGTGCCAAATACACTATTTTTCTCTTTTTTGATATGAAACACGTATTAAAGTAGTTATGATGATCATAAAGAAGCAATTTAAGAGAAGAGGAAAAAAAACTTTAAAGTACCTCCATCAATACGAATATTAAACAGTATGCAGCTATATATTTATAGTTCCTAGATTAAGCTACACATGTTCTTCAATTTTTTGATAGAATGTTTACACAAAGATGAGAATCATGTAAACCTTTAAATAATCAACCATATATATACATTAAATTTTTCGCATGCTTGCCTGCCTTTTTCATCATCACAGCTGTTAATTTTGCTCAATTTAAGCATTTCCTTTGCGGCCAAAATAGAATTGTTGCTTCTTTATCTGCCTTGAGTATTAAAATTAGTAATTTTTTAAATGTAAATGTCTAAACAACGAAATGAAAAAAAAAAATGCAATTTTGGAAATTTTATAATCAAAAGAAAAAAGAATTAGAGATAAGGATGATAACTCTTATTTTTTATTATTTCCGTTATTTTTTTCATTCTTATATGCATTAGGTTGTGTAATCTTAAGACTTCATTCTTGCATTGAAAAGTCCAATGACATTCTCTGGAATCCTGCAAAATTAATTAAAACTGTTAAATTCAGGAACAATACAATTTTTTGATTTTTTTAAAGCTTAAGATCATTCTTAGATCACAATTTTAATTGTTTTTGCAAGATTGTAGAAAGAAATGTCATTACGCTGACTTTCATTTCTTGATAATTTATTTTTTATCGCATTAACACAAAAGCTTGGCATATCAATGTACTTAGTAAATTTTCGTTTAAATGTGAATATTGTGTTATAAAGTTGCAAAACTGATGATAAAACTTTTATATTAACTAGATTTTAAGGATTATTGTATTAGTTGAATGATAAAACCAGGTGTTAATTGAAGTCGGATCAGCTTAACCATACAAATGATTCTGGAAACAAAACAAAGTACTTATGCATTTTTAAAACCTTTCAATTTCATTTCAAAACAGTACAATTTCCATCAAAAACATTTAAAAGGTTTTCGAAAAAATCTCTACAATTTTACATTTATACTGTTCTAGATCAATAATAAACCAAAAACACTTGTGGGGTTCTGGAATATTTGTATAAATTATCGCAAGTCGACTTCAATCTTACTTTTTCTATGAAAACAAAAATAAATTTACTGTATTCGGAGCAGCTTCTTCCTATAAATTTATAATCAGTTCTTCCTTTGAACCTCCTTTTATATGTTTTTGTGACATCAAATCTTTATTTGAACAAAAACAAAAGAAAGAAAGCAAATAAAAAGCTAATCTTTTTTTTTATTAATTTAATTATGTATTTCAATTGAACAGATTATCTTATTTGATCTCTTAAATGAAGACCTTACACACATTTTTTTTTGCTTTTCAGCTAACGTACTTAATTGTATTTGGAAAATTGTCAACGAAATATCAACAAAATTTTTCTTTGTGTTTTAAGCGTCGTCAAATAACTTTCGTGCGTCTTTTTCATTAACTTATTTATTTTCAACAATTCTCGAACCCAATTATTTTAATAATTTTTTGTGTAGAAAATAAAATGTGAGAATAAATAAGCACCACAGCAGATAACTTTAAAGAGTGTTTTTAAACAATTTTTTAATACCTTTGGATTAATTTTTTTCTTCATTTTACAAATAATTTTGTTGATTTAAATATCTAAAATATTGAAACTTAATAATCTTGAAAGTCTTGACATGCAGTAGATCAAAAGTCATAGAAATAGAACATTGGCGATCTTGATTTTGATTTGTATATGAATGTAAGTGGTAATTCAGAAAATTTCATTGCTCTTATGAACCTTTTTTCGAGACATTTTGAAGAAAAAGAGAATAATAAAATTAACAAAAAGAAAACCTATAAAAAATTATAAGTTGTGTATCGCTGAACACAATAGTTCATAAAATGCTTAATTATTTTAATTAATTATCATATCATTTCCATTTATGATATGAAAAAAGGAAAGGAGAAAAATTATGCTCATACTAAAATCTAAAACACAAGTCCGTTGTCTAAAAATTAATGATAATATTAAATCGTTTACCACATGTGTGTTTCACGAATCTCACTAATGATGTGATTTGCTCTTGTAAGTGCCTAAAAATACAGAAAAGAAATGTTCATGTTACGTCAATCCACACGTCAAATGATAAAAAGTCGCAGATTACAGCATTATTTTTTGCAAGTCTAACGTATTTTAAATTTTAATTACTTTTTGAACTTCACATTTCGTTTTAATTCAAAATTTTGAAATCAGTCATTTTTCAAAAAATATTTCGACGCTCAAATTCATGTCACATTACGTGATTTCCAAATCAATAAATTAAATTCTGACGTAATAAAAAGAAAAAGCTTGCAAAAACATACGCTAATAATCGACATCTATAAATAGAAAGATGCTTCACGAAGAATAGTAAATAATCATAATAAAACTGACCTTCAACATATCCGAGGCCTCTTTACGTCTGACAGCAATATGCTCGGATTCATTAAGATACTCTTCCGCACGTTCAGACTTGTAGAGATGCGTAACGAGCTCAGATTGAACATTATCCTTGACAAAGTTCACGAGAAAATGCATAATTGCTTTTGGCACTGAGTCTTGTATTGACTTCCTTATAATGTAGAAATAACTTTTTATCAATCGTTCAATAACATCACAATCTCGTTGCTCCTTATCCGTTAGTTTTCTGGTGTTAGAGTTAATCGGGACGTCTGGTAATAAGTTAACAGGTTTCATTGGACTCATCATAGCATGTGTTGGGGTATTAGCATGTGAGCTTTCGACACTTTCTATTTTTGCTGGTGGTAAAATGTTTGAAAGCCAATTAGACTGACCATTTGTATCATTTACATGATTTGTAAGTTCAATGCCGTTTTCTGCACTGCTCATTTGAGGCGCAGTTTGGACTGGCTTTAAAATACGTCTAGGTTGATTGATATTACCTGCATTCATCCATGGATCATTTTGTTCATTCTTAATTAAACTCGGCACCAATGATGCCTCTTTGAAGAAGTCTGGATGCTTAGTATTTATGTAAGCAAGTTCTATGGCAACTAAATTCTCAACCATTGTATTTGTGGTTGGTAATCGTCTTCTCAACAATTGTGTTACGACATCAACGATTTTCTCATGCAATTTTGGAAATCGAAGCATTTCTTGCTGAACTTCTGTGCCGCAATGTTGAATCATTCTCTGCATTTCCTCGTGTATCAATTCGACGCATCTTAATGATGGCTCTTCTAATCTTCTTATTTGTCTTTTTACCTGAGAAAAATGGGAATTACATCAATAAACATTACATTTATAATTTCAGGTAAACATTAATCTTTTATGCATTTTCGCAGAACTGAATTAAAATGTCACATACGCCTAAAAGTAATAAACGTTATATTTGTTTTTGAAAATTTCGAAAATTAAGTCGTTCAGTAAATCATTATGCGTTTCATTTCAGTTCAGTTTCGAATTTTTGAAAGTCATGAAAATTTGAAAACCGTTGAATTTTAAATGTTCAAAAACCGTTAAAAAAGAAACTCACCAAGAGCTCAAATGAGACTTCAGGAACAAAAAGGGCAGGCCTAGGCCCAGTAGCATTTCTGATGGCTGTTAGAATATCCATTTTCGATAGTCCTGCTAACGGATGGATAGAATCAAGAGTTCTTCCAAATGTTTCATGGAAAATATAGCAAATACGAGCACCACCACATAATTCTGTAGTCTCAATATTCCTTGCTGTCCCCTCAATTGTAGCACAATATGCACTGGCGAATTTTGTAATTATTTGTAAAAGAGTTTGACTTCTATCGGTTACATCGTCACCGTAAGAATTGAGTAAAGATTGGAACTGTGAAGACATAACATTAACACGAGTTTTGAGATCAGGCAAACAATCACGAATATGATGCATTAGTAGACGATTTAATGTTTTTGCTAAATATGGAGTTCCATTTCGTGTAGCTAATGTTGGATATTTTCTTTGGAGAAATGCAGCTTCGTCTTTTAATTGCTCCTCAATTTTCTTATTATCCATAATATCTTGTTGTGAGCGATTAACAACACCAATAATGCCAAGTTTAACTGGAATGACTCGTCCACAAAGCATATCAATTGCATCAGTTCCTGCATCCATTAAATCAAGTTTGGTGAGTACAGCAAGAGTCCTTCGACCGTCTGGATCACATTCTTTTGCATACTTTAAGCTCTCACTTGTCGCAATATCAGTATTTGCTGACGTAACAGCGAGAATTATGGAATTAGGGTTTTCAATATATTTAAAAACTAGCTCTCTGATCTGTGTCTCAATATCCTCCGGTTGATCTAAATTAATATAAATTAATAAGCTTACAAATTGATGGAAATAAGTAGCTTAAAACTCACCTCCAACGGGGACTTTTGTGATTCCAGGAAGATCTACTAATGTTAAATTAACTACACGAGTTGAATAGATTTTTAAATTGATGGGTTCTGGACAAATTCCTTTGTTTGTTCCAGCCATTCGATCTGTGTCATCCTCAATTTCTTTACGAATATCGTCAAAGTCTGTGAAAAGTTTATTTTTTGTATGCAGAAACTTCCCCCATTCTTTGAGTGCCACAGTTCCTAAAAATAACATGATTTCATTAGCCAGATAAGAAGAAGGGATGATTGGCAGTGCTTAAAAGTGGGACAGAAATTTTACTTTAGGAGTTTATTGAACTTCTTACCTTTGTCAGCTGATCTATGTTCGCGATCTTCCATTGGACAGTAGATTAGTTGTAAGACAAGTGGTCGTCTAGTGACAATGCCAATTCCTCTAGGCAAAAACGAGTGACCAACGAGCGATTCTATCACAGAACTTTTTCCAGAACTCTATTGAAAAAATTAATATAATGGCTCATTTTGAGTAATTGTAAAGTATTAATCATTTAAAATTATTAATAAATCATTATATAGCCGGCAAATTAAGCCATTAAGGTTGCGTAATTTTCGTCATCTACTTCAATATTTTTGGAAATGTATGTATGAAGAAAAGAAGGCAGAACTTAAAAATCCAAGCGAGTTAAAAAAATCGATTTTCAAACTATTTCATCATACCTGAGTTCCCAGAACGACAATCTGTGGCAATTGAATAGAATCAGATCCGACTGTATTAAATACATCTTGTAACTTATTCACGACTGGAATTAATGCTTCCATTTTTGTTAATAATGCTATTTTAGATTTCACAGAGTTTTTAACTTTTGAAAATTGCAGGGTCTGCTAATGAACTTCCAAGGGGATGTCAACTTTTCGAACATTAAACTTTTCAAAAATTTTAAATTAAAGAAATAACTGTCAAATACATAACTTCCTGTGATTCACTATAATACATCTAAACTTACTAATAGCACATTTATTGCTGAGAATCATTCGACAATTTGTAATTTAGACTTAAAATTAATGCAGTCACTTCCATGTCCCTCGACAGATTAAACTTTGAACCGTAACGGTTTTTTACATACTCATACATTAGTCATGAACATTGAAACTTAACTAGCATTGAATCATCTTCCTTTTATAATTTTTGTTTTGCTTTATTATATACTGTCTGCATGGAATTACATAAATTTATAAAGAGTTATGCGAATAATATTTTTTTAATAGACATAATATATGCTTTTTTTTAATAACAGAAATAATATCCAATGACGATAAAGTTATATTTTTCAATCGAAGCTAATTAATTCCGCTGTTTCGACTTCTTTTGGTTTTTCTGGCTCTACTGGAGGTGGTGGTGCAACTTGTTGTGGCGAAGATTGAGTTATTTGATTAGCATGCTGCATTTGAGTAGATTGTTGTTGTTGCTGCTGTTGTGGAACCATGTTTTGATGCATAGGGATTGGCTGGAATTGTTGATTCATCATTTGGGGTTGTTGCTGCATTTGGGGAACTTGAGGCTGCTGGAAATTTGGATTTTGCATGCTTTGCATCATTGACGATGGCGCAATTGTAGTAGACATAATTGGTGGAACTTGCATCATTTGTTGAGGAGGAACTTGCGAGCCAGGTGGCATCATCATTGGTTGCTGATGACCATTTTGAGTAGTCTGTGCATTCATGCCTGGTAATGTTGTGGCTGAAATATGATTTTTGATTATTTAACGATTTTCTAAAATTCAAATTTGAACTGAACCGAGTTGAAGCACAAATCGAACTGAAAGTTTACTGAACTTACTTGGAATATTTCCAGGCTGGATCGAGCTCTGTGCTGGATTAATTGGCATAAAAGCACTTTGAGGATTTGGAGGTCCAACTTGTGACTGCTGATTATTTTGCTGTCCTTGTTGAGGACCTTGCTGCATCGGATAACCTTGATTTATTGATGGCATCTGACTGTTAATTGGAATTTGTCCGTAAATTGCTTGGGGGTTTACAAAGTTTCCAGGAAATTGACCTGCAAATTGCTGTGGCTGTTGGTTCGGAGCATGTAAAGGCGAACCAGTTGAAGGCATAAATGACTGATAATTATTGCCACCCATCATGTATTGAGCTTTTTGTTGTTCTTGTCTCATTTGCATTTCCCTTTCTTGTTCTTGTATTCTCTGCAAGGCTAATTGTCGCTGATATTGTAAATATTCTTGCTTCTTTTTACGCATAATTTCAAGTTTATACGCCATTTGCATTTGTCGTTGTCGTTCTTGTTCCTCTGCAATGCGACGCACTTTTTCAATATGTTCTTGCCTTAATACATCCAAAGCTGCTCTGGAATCCTTAATTTGAGATAATTTATCTTGTAATTGCTCGTACCAAAGACGTTTATCATCCATTTCTTTAATATAAGAAAGCAATCTACTGTGCATGGATGTAATATTCATAAAAAGTGTCTGAACACTCGTATCATTTGCAATTGAACGTCCACGGCTTGAATTCGATTTCATGCGATTAACAAAGATTTCTACTTGAGTGCGCATTGATTGAGTAAACTCATCGATTTCAATGTCTTTCTCGGAAGATGTTTTTTGGATATTTAAGCTAATAATCGATGAAGGCATTGGACTCGGAGCAGATGGGCTCATTGTTTCTTGAACTTGTCGTTGTTCCCAATAATTTCTATTTAAATATCTTGCTAATTCTGGATCTGAAGGAGTTTCAGGTGGAGTTGGAGATCTTTGTGGCGGTTCCGGAGATAGCGATTTTGGATAATTTCGTTTAGCAAATGCTTGCTTCTTTTTTGATTCTGCTTCAGATTGACTTAATGCAAGTGCCAATTGCAATTCTTCTTCTTCTCTCAATTCTTCGTCCGTTTTACGAACTGGCTGTTGATTCTGTTGAGCTAAAGAACTTGTCAAATATTCAGCTGGAAGCTCATCTTCGTCCTTTTTAACTACAGGAACCACTGGCTTTTGTAACTGATCAAAACATCCATCACAAACACGCACTTCCTTCTCGATTCCAAATCTTGGAATTATACTAAACTTTCCAGAACACTGTCCACAAAACACTTGACCACAATTACGACCTAATTTTATAACAGTATTAAAATTAATGTAATTAAATAATATGGGCCCCGAAGTTTTTATAAGGATTTTTGCTCAACGGAAAAATTAAATTTGTGAATTACACTATCTTACAAAACAACAAAAATTAAATTTTCAAAATTCTTAATTATTAAATCATTAATCCCAAACATTATGATGTGAATACAGAAAGTAGATGATACATTAGCTTCTCTGACTATTTTAAGAGATTTTTCATCATTATTGAGTGATATTTTTTATGACTTTTCAAATTTCATTTCCAATTTTGTTTGTAAACAAACAAATTACAACCGAAAACATTCAAAAAAACTTAAAACCGTTAAATTTTTTTTAACTTAATTTTGTTCATTTAAGTATGTTTCCAGGACAATTAATACAGTTTTTTGAAGCTAAATACAAGATAATAAAATTTCTGATCTATAATAATACATTTAAAGATATATCAATGAAAATAATAGCAAAATTCCCAAAAATTATTCGTGAGTGACGCTTAATTGAAGTGATTTTCCGACATAACTGCTTAACTTTAGAAAGTGAGCTGTATGTCGAAAGATAGGGATTTTTGTTTCCTACAAAGTAAAATGACTTTGAAATTTGTCACTATTGTGGTTACGGAGATATATAAGAAACCATAGCGTAACTCACCAATAATTTTTTTTCGTCGGGGCCAATATAATTAAGTGTATGTAACTTACAGTGGTGCTTTCGATTAACAATTGAAAATGATGCTCTACAGCGATGACATACATCACCATCAGCCCATTCGGGTGCTACATCAGAAGCAAACAGTTTATCTGATATGTCCTTCATTTCTGGAAATTTATAGCCTTCTGTCTTCAAAATATTCATAGTATCCTGGCAAGACACAAAAGAAAAATGATTTAAAATAAATTTTTTTCCAGACAAAGAAAGTGGTAAAAAGTGACGATGACTAATCTAATTATAACTTTCATACCTTTATACCCCGATATTTGTATGCTGAACGAAAAGCATGCGACCATGTCTGAATTAATTCTAGCATTTTATTCCTAACATTCTCATGAATTGTTGTCTGAACTAAGTTCGTATATGCTTCGCAATTAGCCTTATTGGATATTTCTTCATGAACAGGAGCACCGCAATTTTTGACGATACTTTCAAGTACCATTAAAGCATAAAGTGCTGTATGAGGATTTTGTGACAACATCTTCTTTTTAATCTGACTAACAGCCTGTTTTGCACTATGAATAAATTGATAAGAAGAAATAGTTGTGGATGAGTCATCAAAGTTGACATCCAGTAAGTATTTAAATTATTTTCATACCTAACATCATTTTGGCGAATCAGATCGCAAATTATCATTATTGATGTCCAATCAGGCTCTAATTTCAAGTGGGATGTTGCCGTTTCTTCAAATAAAGTCATTTTTAAAAGAATTGGATCAGTGAAAGTAATACAAATCGATGAAAAATTTCTCGATAACATTATTTGCTTATTTGCACAATAAATTCCACTTACCCAACGTTTTATCGAATGTAGATGACTTGAACATCTTGATTATGTGTATTTAATATAAGCTGAATGACCTAAAAGTGTTGTTAAAACAGGAAATTATAAAAATATAATGACAAATATTTTTCTTCTTTATTTTTTGTGAAACTTTATTGCTCACCCTTGATTTCTAATTTCGAATATTGTTCGAAACTAGCACAGAACTTGCACATTAGCTGACTACGGCGCATTACTATAATTAATTTTTATTTTAAAGAGAAATAATATTTTCAACGGCTATTTAAAATTTGAAATTTATGCTCAATATTCAAATAAAATCCGTTACAACTTTTCATTGGTTTAAAACGAATTTTATGAATTTGATGCCTTAACCAAGAGCAAGGACTAGGTAAATAGCCATCAAAATACAGAGAAAATAAAAAGCAATTGGATGCAGCCATAATGAATAGTAGAATAAACAGGCTGAGGTTAAAAAATTGCACAAATAGTCTCTTCTTTTATTTTCTTCTATGATCACTTAATTGCTGTGAAAAATACTTAGAAACAAAGAGATATAAGAGAAGAAGGTGGGATAGATTTATAGACATTAAATAATATTATGGATTCTCCTCGAGAATCAGCTGTAAGTAAACAATTAAGAATTAGACAGAAAAATATGTTAATGTTAATTATTAGATACAGACAGCAATAAGCTTCCTGAGGAATCCAAAAGTAGCAAGAAGCAGTCTGATACAAAAAAGGAACTTCTTGGCTAGTAAAGGACTGAGTGACGATGAAATTCAACTAGCATTTGAGAGAGTTGGAATATTCACAAAAATTAATATGATAGATACGCCATTAGAGGAATCGACAGTCATAAATGTTCCTTCACAAGCACAACCACTTGCGACCTACAAACATCAAATGACGACATTTGAAAAAATAAAAGATTTGATAAGCTCAGCAGCGTTAATAAGTGGAATTGCTTATGCTGTATATATGTTCTATAAGGTAAGTTATTCTTGCCGACCGACCTTTGAACCGGTTTGACTTTGCAAACAAAAGTAATAAAAATCTAAATTAAACCTTCTTATCATTATTTGCTAGAGATATATTGAGCCATTTTTGTTTGGACGTAACAAAAAAGGTGATAAAATGGATGAATTGACTAAAACTACAAAGGCAATAAATGGTGAGCTTATCAGAGTGCGAGAGGAGATAAATAATCAAAAACAGGCACAAGAGTCTGCGAATAAAGTTGTACAGAATTCATTGCAGTCATTTAAAGCTGAGATTGAGACTATCAAAGGAATTTTATTAAATCATAGAAATTTCTCGTCCAAACCATCAATGTCTTCTGCTTCCATGAACATTCCTAAAATTCCTTCATGGCAACTAGCTACAAAATCAAAAAATTGTGATGATAAAAATGACGATGATAAGCACTCAAACTCAAGTGAAAATGATACAGAAGTCATTACTGAGGACCCACAAAAATCATCCAATCGATCACCAGCCAATTCTGATTCCTCACTCGAGATTATGTGAAATAACTGCATTTACTTTATTTGATTCTATTTTATACCCATATAATTTTTGTGTAATTTCAAAAGTCATTTTTAATATGTTAATGATGGGCAATATAGTAATATAATTAATAAATTTTAAATAAAGACTTTAGTTTCGAATTAAATTAACGGTTTTTTACGGATTCAAAATTTTTTTGGAAACGGATTTTCGAAAAAGCTGTTCTGAATGAAAATGAGTCAGATACATGAACAGCCGTAATTTACAAAAAAATAAGCATCTAATGAGCTATAATTTGCAACGACTAATTAAACTGCATTAAACACAATAATAAACTGCATCAAACTTCTAGGGTTCAGTTGAAATTTTAAAATGGACTTAGTAAACTTTTATCTTAACTAGTGTATCGGGTAGAAACCCAATGAGGATATATTCACACCGTACCATCAAAAGACTTATGAATAGACCCAAGGACTATGGATAGTTGATGAAAATTCGAACTCGAAAGTAAGGCTGTAAAAAGGTTTTTTTGATTGATTCAAATTTTATCTTCCAATTTTTGTAAACAAACAAGTTTGTTTACAATTTATGAGTAAATTTTTCAATTGCAATTTTTTCATCTATTTGAAGCATAATTTAAGCTACGATAGTTGCAAACCGTTTATTATCACTGAACAATTACAGCAACATGCTAAAACAGAACCAAAAATGACTTAAAATAGGAAATTTTGAGAATTTATGAAAACATTCGTTTTCGAACTTTCGTAAACAACATCGACAAAAATACGGGAAATTTAAAATATTTATAGCTTAACTGACAGCGTGCTATCCATAGTCCATGGGAATAGACCAAGTTTTTTGCTTTTTCTGAAGCAACGGCTGTTCCTTCCTTGCACAAAAACAATACAGCTCTTCTATAGAGCAGCACGGATCAAATGAAAAAAACTAGAAGTCTCTACGATGTCTCGTTATTGAGATTTCTTACTGATTAACTTGCTTCTTTGCTTGCTTACAGAAAGCATATTTTGCGATTTTCTCAGCAATGCCGAAACCAATTTGAAATCTGTTTTTTTGCAAAAGATGTGAAATTTCAGGGACAAACTTTTCATCTTAGAACATGTTATGCTATCTTGCTCCATTCCCTCACAAAGTTAAAAAAAATTTGATTTTACAATCTGAACAAAACCAATAGATTCACACGTGAAAACGGTGTGAATATAAAAACTCACAAACAGTAAACAAGAGTTTGTCGGTTTAATTTTGTGTAAATTTGTGGATATACGTCGATTTTAACTGTATTTAAGCAAATTATTAAATTATTAAGTTAATTAAGGATGACAGAATCTAATCAGAATTTCTGTCGAGTATGTTTCATACAAAATGACGAGAGTTTTACAAGCATAGCTGGAACTTTAACTCAGATGGAGTTACTTAGTGTAGGAAACATTGAAGTGTTTGAGGAAGATGGACTGCCAAACTTAATATGTAAAACATGCAAGATAATTTTATCGAATGCCTATAAATTTAAGCAGCTATGCAAGAGATCAGAGACATTACTTAAAGCTTTTGCAATGACTGGTCAAATACCAAATAAACTCCATATAATCCAGGAACCACTTCCGTCATTCAAAAAAGAGGAACCAGTTAAACTTCCAGAGCCAAAAGAAATGAAATCAATTGGTATAGGAACAGAAATAATTATGAAGTCTGTAAGTGTCGGAATCGAGATCCAGCAAAAATCAGTTTGTGTTGGAAGTGAATTAGAAATTAAGGAATCATCCGTTCAAACTGATACAATAGATCCAGAACCAACGATTGAACAAATGGAAATGATTTTAACGAATGAAGAAGAGTCTTTTGAAGCAGTTCCAATAATTGCTCCACCAACATTATTTGAAGACGAGCAGCAACAAGAATATGCTATAGCTAAGCCAGAAGAAACATCCAGCAAACCAAAAATTTTAAAGAATGAAAAAGTAAAGATATTAAATAAAGCAACACCAGACGTATCCTCATCTCCAGCTAAACAGTTTAAAAAGAAAAGTAAAGTAAAATTGGAAAAATCTAGTGACAGCAAGCCAACGATATTAAATAGTCAATTAAAGATTTCACAAGTCGATCATCAAATTATTGAAACTATAGAAGAAATGCCTGATGGAAACATTGAGATTATAGCATACGATGAAGAATATTTGGAAGAAGATATTGACAAAAGGGATAATCAAAAAGTTGAGGAAATGGATAAATCTGAGGATGGTGTAGTCTATTCATGCGATGTTTGTGAACGAGGGTTTCCTTTATTACAGCAGCTTCAAATTCATAAAGAAAATCATACAAGAGCCCGTGATCATCCATGTGAATACTGTGATAAAGCATTCTTCACTAAATATGATCTCGCTAAGCATGTCCTGACTCATACCAAACAAAAAGATTATACATGCATAGTCTGCAACAAGAGTTTCTCTAGATCTACATTATTATATCGCCATGAAAAAATCCATACTGATCCTGATATTCAACGGTAAGGCACAGAAGAAATGGAAAATATTCTAAGAACTTGTTCTAATTAATAAAACTTAATTTCAGGTACGCATGCTCGCATTGCGATCGAGTATATTTAAATAAATTAGATTATGATAAACATCAGCTCGTCCATAACAAGAGTAGACCGTAAGTTAAAGCATAGAAAACATATCTTGTCCTGTAATTAATCTTACTATAATTATGATTTATGTTTTTGTAGATTCGCTTGTAATTATTGTGATAAAAAGTTTGCGTTTAAACAAGGACTCGAGCGACATGAGGTCATTCACGACATGCAGTTAATGTCCCATCCTTGTCAGGTAAACAATTGGTTTTAAATTAAGTCAGATTTAAATTTATTTAAGTCCATTTTTTAATCTTAAGGATTTAATTTTAATCTGCAATTTTTTAATTATAATCCACAGTATTGCTCTGATCGCTTTAAAACGGCAGCTAGACTGCAGCGACATTTGTCATCTGCTCATGCTGGTACCCGAGCATTTCCATGTTCAAAATGCAATAAGAGATTTATGCTTTCACACCACCTTTATCGTCATATGAGAACATCGCATAAAAATGAAGATGAAGCTATTACACTTCAATGTCCTGAATGTGAGGAGAATTTCGATCAACGTGAAGTGTTCTTTGATCATTGCCTTGATCATGCAACAGTGTCATTAATTTGTCCAATGTGTAAATATGAAGGAGATAGTATTGATGACATAAATAGTCATGTTTTGTTACATAGTAAGAGAGATATGTATTTCTGTGACTATTGTTCGTGTATCTTCATGTCTCAAGACGTCCTTAATGATCATTTTGTTGAGAAGCATTCCGAAGAATTGTGTGGAATCGAGGAATATATTATTGAAAAGTCAGACAAGACTCAAATTAAGCATGAAATCGATAAAACCTTTAAGACACCACAACCACCAAGTAAAAAGCAAAAGGTTACCCATGAAGCACAATATATTGAAATTCCAATGACTGCTGCATCTTTTGTTGAATATGATGAAGAAAGTTCAGAGCCAATTAAAGTTGAGAAAACTCCTGCAAAGGTTGTGAATGTTTCAAGTAAAAAGGAAGCTAAAACATCACCAACCACAACTATTCAGAGAGTAAAGATGTCCTTAAGTGAGATAAAAAGACTTCAGAAGGAAGGAAAGATTGTAATGCAAGACGGAATGTTAGTCATGAAGCAATAAATTTCAATTGCAGAGACTTAGTGACTTGCCATTTTAATTGTTGATACCATCAATATTAAGTTTCTAATTGAAAAAAGGTAGAAAAATGGAACTGGATACTCTTTTATTTTATCAGCTCCAGCTTGTAGACACTGACCTGCCAAAATTGAAAATCTTTTAAAAATCAACCTTTGTGTTCGTGTGCAAATATCCAATAAAAATAAAACTAAGATCAAAACAAGATTTAATCGTATTTAATCAATTATTGTTTAAATTTTATTTCTTTCGTCATTTTTTTCTTGTAAAAGTTAATATTATAGGATTAAATCTAAAGCTTTATGAGAAGTTTAACATCATAGAAAAAAATCATAGTGTGTTAAAAAGTTTTTTTGATTAAATTCGTTAAATTGTTTTTTGATGACATAAATTAAAAACTAATTTCATTTAACGTGCTTTATGTGGTGCTCGCACAACGTTTTTGGGCAGTTTCATTTCGATGATAATGTGAAGTGTATATAAAATAAAGAAATTGATTTTAAGCGTGAAGTGCGCCCATCTGTAATGAGAAGAATGAATAGGAAATCCAAATTATATTCAAGAGTTTCGATTAAATTTCAAACACATAAATAATTTTTTTAAATACAGAATTATTGCTAATTTTACATGTGTGTAGGGTTTGTGGAAAACAGCTGTTTTTGAAAAACAGTCTGTTTTCGGTTTTTGATTTTTAAAAACAGCTGTTTTCCTGATTTTCTAGAATTCAAAATAAACTGACTTATCCTAAGGGGCCATTCACTTATTACGTAACGCTTTTAGTGGGAGGGGGGGGGGGGGGTCTAAGATTTTGTTACGGTTCAAACAAGGAAATTTTTTTTTCATACAAATTTTGTTACGAGGGGGGGGGGGGGGTCTAAGAAGTCATTTTTTTGCGTTACGTAATAAGTGAACAGCCCCTAAGTGTTTCTCTAAGATAATGAAACCAGAGCTGCGAAACAGGCACCTGTGACAGGTGAAAAACCTACAATTCCTTGATAATTTATAAGGTTTTTCTAACAAAACCATACAAATTATCAAGGAATTGAAAGGTTCTCACCTGTCACAGGTGACCTGTTTCGCAACTCATTATGAAACTTTTTGGTGGTTATAAGCAGTTAAGCATACATTATAGAGCTAAGCATTATTATTTCTTAATTTTTCGTTAATTAACTCTATAAAATATAATTGAATATAAAAATTTAAAAAAAAAATTTATACTTTTAAGAAAAATTGCATTGTTGCATTGCAAAAGTTCCATAAACTCTAATATTTTATTTGAGATATTCAAAAAACCTTTCTAAACAAAAAAATATCTTGCAAAATTGTTGATTATATTTTTGAACCTTAGTAAATACTACAAAAGGTGCAACAAATTTAAAATTTCGATTGCAAAATTAGTAATGATTAATCATAAATTTGATAATGATTTCAAACCTATTAAACATCCAAAAAATTTTAAAATAGTAAATACATTTTAATTTGGAATTCTAGAAAACTACATTACCTTCTTCAAAAAATTAAGAAATTTTTTTTTTCTGAAAATTTTATGTAAAAATTAAAAACAGAAAACAGATCTGTTTTTGAGACCTGTTTTCTGTTAACAGATTTTTGTCGAAAAACAGCTGTTTTTCTGTTTTCTGTTAACAGGTTCCCCAAACCCTACATGATGTGTGCATAGATGAGTCAATTTTTAAAAGTGGAAAAATTATTGAAATCAATTAAATTGTGGAGATATAGAAGTATAGACAATGGAATCATGCAATTTTAAAATAATACATAAATTAAAATAAATATATTTATGATCAACGTACCTATATAGTAAATATAATCTAGGATTTTCAACTGAGAGAGGAACTAAAGGATCTATTCAACTTGATAGGAAATGAATTTTTTTTAATAAATGGTAAATGAAACTACTTTTAAAAATATTTAACAAAACAATATGACAACTCTCAAACAGCTATAATTATTCAATTTAAAATAAAACTTAATTAATACTATAAAGAATAGGAGATTACAGAGAGAAAGTTAAAAATTAATTAAGGGAATTTTTAAATGTGTGTGTTTTGTGGTTTTTTAATAAATCATTCTTCATCGATGTATTTTAGATCAGGATATTTCACACCTGCCTAAAAATTTTATGAAATAATCATTACTAATTCAGTTTTAAAACTTTCGCTACTAGAAACTTGAAAATTATTGATTGTTAACAGTTTTTCTGAATTCAAATTTCATGAAACTGTTGTTCGTGTTCAAACATTTAAAGACCCCAAACAAAGCAATCATAAAGCTTAAACGGCAAATGATTAATTGAAATCAATTAAGTTGTTAAGGAACTCAAATAATCTGGGAGCATGTTCATATATCGTGATTTAAGCAATTTCCTAATTAAGCTCTCATAATTTGAACTTAAAACAATCAAAAATCAATCATCCTCAAGTTTCTATTTATAGCTTAATATCATTCAAATAAGATCTACCCTTTTTTTCGTTTTAAGCTAGTAGCTTAGAAGAATAAAAAAGTGATTTTTTTTGGCTCACTAGTAGGTTAGTAACGAGCAGGGTGGGGGAGTTTTTTGCGATTTAAATCAAAATCACAAATCAAATTGTGATTTTTGATTTAAATCTCAATGAAGAATGATTTGAAAAATGATTTCTGATTTAAATCATTTCACCAAAGTGATTTATTTTTGTTTTATGATTTAAATCATTTTGTATGGAAGATTTATTTGTGATTTATGATTTAAATCAAATTGTATGGGGATTTTTTTTGGGATTTTAAATCACTTGAAGGTGAAAATTTGTTTGGGAATTTTCAGAAGATTATTAAAAAATATTAATCATTAATCACATGCTGGAACAAAAATTTTTTTTGAGGAACCACCTGGTTCCTTTAGTGCCTGAAGACTGAAAATGTTAAAAATTAAGTCATTAAAGAATGAAGCACTTTTTCTGAGCATTTTCAATCTTCAGGCACCAAAGAAACCGGTCGGTCCCTCAAAAAAATTTTTTGTTTCAGGATGTGATTCCTTGATTAAAAAGAAACAAAATTTTTTTTTTGGGATGTAAAGGAACTGAGCAGTTCCAGTGTCTAATCATACCTCTGGCTAAGAAATACAAACGTTTACCTCTTTGACAATGAAAACTTATCAAAAAATGCTTTAAAGGGACTGGAAGTGACTAGTTCCTCATAAGATGCTAGATCCATTCATGCTTTATCATTTAGAGCTATACCAACATCTACATACTACAATATCCAAAAGCCAGAAAGGATATCCATGATTAATGATTAATGTTTTTTAATAATCTTCTGAAAATTCCCAAACAAATTTTCACCTTCAAGTGATTTAAATTCCCAAAAAAATCCCCATACAATGTGATTTAAATCATAAATCAAAAATAAATCACTTATGTAAAATGATTTAAATCAAAAATCATTTTTCAAATCATTGCAAATGATTTTGATTTTGATTTATGATTTAAATCCCCACCCTGGTAACGAGTAGTAGCTTAGTAAAGAAATTGAACTTCAATGAAAATTTTAAATTTTTTAACTTAATTAAAGAAATTTTGATATCTTCTCGATTTCATTTCATTGACAATGTCATAAGGCATTGAAACTGATACTTAGAAAGTTGAAAAAGATTAATTAAACTTTATTTTTGGTAGTAGCTTAGTAAAGATTACAAAAAATTTTCAAGTTCAAAAAAACTTTACTAAGCTAGAAGCTTAGTAACGAGTAGTAGCTTATAACGAAAAAACAGGGTAAATGAAATTCAATTTCTACAAACCTCTTTATCATCATTTTGTTGAACTTGTCTGTATTTATCTGAATGAATTATTTTAGCACTAGGTGCGGTAAAGAACAGTGAATATAGGAGAGATGCAGCTACGCCGCCTGCAATTGGCCCTACCCAGTATACCTAATAATAAATTTAAAACATTTAAACTATCAACACATAATCATAAAATGTAAAGCCTTACCCAATGATTCAACCAATCACCGCTGACAACGGCCGTACCAAAACTTCTGGCTGGATTCATTGAAGCACCTGTGTAGGAAACCACTCCTAAATGTCCTAATGTGACTGTTAATCCAATGGCCAATGGTGCGATAAATCTTGAATCTTGCTTATTTTCATCGCAGACTCCGAAAACGCAGAACACGAGGATAAATCCAAGGAAGAATTCAAATCCTAATCCTTGATAGACGTCCAATTTTTCATTGAGTTGTGTATGGCCAATTGATTCAGTCAATCCACTAACCAAAACATGTAGTGCTGCAGTTCCAGCAACACTTCCAAAACATTGAGCAATAATGTAGAAAATAGCACGGAAAATTGAAATTTTTCCAGCAGCTAGAAGACCGATAGTAACAGCTGGATTTATGTGACATCCTGACACATGTCCAATAGTCTATAGCAATGCAGAATAACACAGAAATAGTTAATAATAATAATAGATGACATTTAAAATAGAAGAAAATAACAGGAAATGCAGAAAAGTGTGGAACAAAGTCATTCAAGGTATTTCTAGTTCATTCTTATTTTTTATTAACACTCTATCCATAAATCACACCCAAAAAGTAATTACCGATAGTGTTAAAGAGATGAGTGGAGTAATCAAAAATTTATGGCACTTGAGAGTCAGAAAGTGTAATCATAACACGACATTTATTTATTTGGTGGCACAAGGCTGATTGTGAGTGCGTAGAAAGGCTTATCGTAGTATCACATAGTTTTAACCCATTTTGATTAGAAATGCATTTTAAATTTAATGTGCTTAACATTACATACCATAGCAGCCATAAAAACGCTTAATCCAAATGCCAATGAAATCAGTACAAAGTCTCCATTTGACTGTGTACATGCAGCACAGCCAAAGAAATTGAGAATGAAAATACCAAAGAATTCAGCAAAAACGGCTTTGTAGAGATTGGTTCCTGGTCTTCCTCTGATCTCGTCAACACCCAGTGAATATGTAAATGCCATCTTTTATTTGGTCTGAAATGTAGAAGGCATTAAGCAATTAATTATGTGAAGGTACTAAGTGCATTGAACTTTAAGCATAAACAATATTTCTATGTGAACTGGAGCTCACAGTTTTCCAACACCCTCCATAAATGGAAGGAACAACAGTTAAGAAGAAAGACACATAAAGTATATGCTGAATATCAATTCATTAAAATGCATTTAATGCGTACATGCAAATAATCCATAGCAAGTAAGTGCTATAGAAACTAAACAGAAGTTTACATCCACTATGAATATTAAGCTTTCATTCAAGAAGGCAATACCGTCTGCGCTTTTGAAATGTAAATATTTTTTAAGTTCCAAATCACGCTTACGAGTGCTCTTGATAGTAAATATTTTAAGCAAGTAACAGGGGGAAATTTACTCAGCCTAAAATTTTTTTTGAGTAAAAAATTATTAAAACAAAAGCGTAAAAAAAGAGTAAAAAGTGTAAAAAAAGAGTAAAATGTGTAAAAAAAAGTGTAAAAAAGAGTAAAAAGCGTAAAAAAGTGTAAAAAAAAGAGTAAAAAGCGTAAAAAAAGAGTAAAAAGTGCACTTTTTACTCTTTTTTTACACTTTTTTTACGCTTTTTACTCTTTTTTTACACTTTTTACTCTTTTTTTACACATTTTACTCTTTTTTTTACACATTTTACTCTTTTTTTACACTTTTTACTCTTTTTTTACGCTTTTGTTTTAATAATTTTTTACTCAAAAAAAATTTTAGGCTGAGTAAATTTCTCCCTGGCAAGTAAGAAACTTGGGATTTATGCAGATTTATGACGCATTTTCTATAACTTTTTTTGTAAAAAAACCTACCTCCAGATTTTTTTTTCGAATTCAACTAGGCTTGATGGTTGACTTATTAGGTTACGACAAATAATAAAATTTTAGATCCCCCTCCCCTCTTCGTTATAAATTTTGTATGAATATTTTGCTCTCTGTACCAGGTTAAAAAAAATCTACTCCTGAAAACAAGGTACGGAACTGATAAAACTCTTTTTGATAGTTTTTGCTAATTTTTATCAGTTCCTTTTTAAAGAGAAGGGGTGTTGAAGATAGAAAAAATCTAAGAATTAATTCAAAGACATGCATGGGAACATTCCCATGGTATAATAAAATGAATCATATTGATTTCGATCCCCTAAAGAGAATTCTAGGTAAGGCCAGTAATTAGAATGATGAATATCCATTTAAGCCAATAAAATTACTTAAATGAAGACAAAGTGAGCTTTTATCATTGAATGTCTCGATTTTCAAAGAAATGCCGCACAAAAATAATCACATTTGCCAATTTTGGAATTTCCATAGGGATCGATATATCATTATAAGACATACAATTAAATAAAAAAGTAACACTAACAAGTCAAGTGCAAAAAGTTATTTCAAATGATCGATGATATGAGACAAACGATACATTTGACATTTTAAAGGCATATTTGTTTTAAGAATTATGGCATACATTCCAGTAAGGCACGGTTACGCGTTTACCTTCTAACATTCTTGTTAGATTTAACGAAAAATTCAATTTAATTCAGTATTGGCTATTTGTTTTGAGCTTTTCAAGTTCAAGAAAATAAATTTATTAATGAAAGTGATTGAGAAACAACAAATATCAAGTCAATTGCCGATGGGGGTTAACGAACGAGAAGTAAATACAATTCTATCAGGCAATTTTCATTTTATTATTATATCTTCTTGCCTTTATAATAATGATAATGATGATTCACAATAAAAAGAAATGGCAACAAGTTGTTCCCATCACCACATTGTGTGTTCGATTGTGAATAAATATTCTTTTAATGTTTTGTAAATGCTGCCTCATTGCTTTTTAATGGCTACTGACTGTATGCCTTTTTTGTCGAAAAAAAAAACAAGCAAAACATGATAATGGGGAGAATATAACATGAAATGGCATAATAATTGAGAAAATTATAGAAATCACTGCACATTTATTTTTTTAGAGAGGGTTTGCACTTACAACGTGATCATTAACGCCATTGCCACTATAATAAAAAGTATGTAATAATTACAAAAAAGTACATTTGACATAGAAAGATAATGAACATTAAATAAATATTCTTTTTCAATCTGCTTGGTTGCGGATTTTCTTTATTTCTGACGTCAATAATTAAATGAGGTGAAGCTTTTGTAGAAGAAGATATTGAACAATAAAAATTGAAAATGCTGTGTTTAAAAAGTTTCTTTGCGATTAATAATAATAATAATAGTTTATTACCAGAGGTATTTAGATAATTTGACATGTATAGTACAACGAAACAGAATGTGAAGAGATAATATAATAAAACATTTAGAAAATTTATTAATTGATAAAAATGAGGAACTTGAGCATGACACTAAATTTGAATCGGGTTTGCTTTGAAGTTTCGCGGAAAGACATAGCTTTTAAACGTGAGTTAAATTGTGGCGCTTTAGCATCGACGCTTTTATAAAGCACCTTCGAGACAGGTGAAAAGTTTATTAACTTTTGTGGTGACACACTGAACAACTGCGCATACAAATGGGTCCTAAAGGACACAGATTCCACAATTCAACCTCCATCAATGTGCATGATTCCACCTTCCGGTCTAGTGCAGATTGCAGGTTTCCGAAGCATATGGGTCTTTCGAATGTGACGAAAAAATTAGGAATAGATCCATCGCGCTGCAGGCAATGATTTGAAAACGAATCGTATCGCTTAAGAAGCATTCATACAAATTAAAATAGATATCATTTTCTAAACGACCCCAAAGAAGTTGTGATAAATGTTCACGCTTATTAGTGTTTGTGTGATGATGCTATAGAACTTTTAATATATTCTTTTGGTTCTATGAGAAATCACTTCCAAAAACAGGAAATGAATCAAAGCTATAAATATTAAAGAATTATTTAAACTCTGCAGGAGGTCAGTTGATTAAAATAAATTTATCAGATTTTGAAGGCATTAGCAGCTCTAGCTTAGTCAATGGATTTACGAAAAAAATGCGTGCTTCAAAAGCTAAACATACAACATATTGCAAAAATCCAGAAACTTTAATCAGTTAAAGCTCTCAAAGTCTAAATTTCAAGGCAATAGATAACATTGATGAATCCCTGATAAGAAGTCGCAAAATGATACAGGATGTATATATAGCTTTATTGTAAAGCTTTATAGTCCTCATATCAGCAGAATTGAAGCCACAAAGTGTTTAAATGCCATTAATTGCATTACTAACTGAGTTACTTAACTTTAATTAAGTTTGAGCCATAAAGGAACTGATAAGAAACAATTTTGATACTGGAGTCAAACCTTTTACATTCCACATACGTTATTGTCTTCTTTAATTGTGCAATTTTCCTTCTTCTCTAATTTTAGAAATGAAACTTTTACGAGATTAATTTTTATTTTTATGATATTTTAATTTGCTATTCTAAGATAAGCTGTTATCACAGTTAAGTACGGTATACAGTCTCATGGTCTTAGCTTTCATTTTTTTACTGCAATCGTATAAAATTAACTTTTTATTTGTATTTATCTCACTTGACTCTGACATTATCAGCTACATTGACTATGTAAAATCTCTTAAATCCGACAGCTCGAAAAAAAAAGTTTTCCATCTAATTTACACATTTTTTATGAATTATGACAGCACACATAACATAAAAAATTTAATCGTGCATCAAAATTCAACGTGTAGCTACGTTATCAAAGCTTGTAATTAAAATAAAAATGTTTGTCATTGGAATGATGAAATCATTCACCAAAAGTGAAATCTAGAATATTTATTGCGAGAATTGAGATTGAGTAGCATCACGAAAGAGATTTAACACAAGTCCAAAATACGATATTAATTGTAACTCATCGAAATTGTTGAATCACGTGGTCATAAAAAACCAGAGGAACTGGTTTTATTTGATAGGATTTAGAGACTTGCGAGAAATATTACAAGAATAAATTTCATTGATTAATGACTGACATTTGTATGTCCCGAATGGGAGATTCTTAGCATTCTCAGCATAAATAAGCAGGCAAAAGTATCTCAGAGTATAAGTAGACGAGAGAATTAATTCGCAATAGAAATGATTTCATTTTATTTTAAACACTTTGGTATTTTATTAAGCATTCGACTATTTATTTTCTTTATTTTTGATTGCTCCTCATACGTGTTTTGTTCTGTTGCAAAATTCAGAAACGAGAGAAACGTAAAAAAATAACAAAAAAACATCGCGATGTCGTTTAATTTTTCATATAATGACAAGTATAGGATTGCTCATGGTGATTTCAAAAAGACGCAGGTTTAGTTCAAGTAATGCTTAAGTAAACTTCTTGCAATTAGTTTGGGAAATTGAGGTAGAGTTTAAAATATATTTTTTTTTTACATTCGTAAAAGGTTTAAAGTTTTTTTAAAATAAATTTGCGAAATTTCAGGTAATTCAGTAAAATAGAGAATATGAAGTTCAGCAAATTTTAATTAATTCCACAAATTGTCAGTATTTGACAATTAGGTCAATTCAAAACAATATGTTTTACTATTCAAGTTATTAACAGCTAAGATTGTTAATCCATTGATCCAGGAATAGTTCTCATGTAAATTATGATCCTACTCCACCTTTTTAACCCATTTTACAAATTTAACTAAAATAATAAGCTACAACATGACTTTGAAGGAAGTCAAACTGGTCATAAACTGCGCATTTTATTGTGTTGCAAGAATGCGCCGAAAAGGCTAATTTTATGGTCACTTAAAAGGCGTATCAAGCTTACGCAGATGACTTCATCGCTATATTTAAATCGTAAAAAAAAATTATAGAAGAATTGATGGCACAATATCAAGAAAACAATAAAAATATATGTAAGGTGACGTTACAGGCAATTAATTCCTTCAACTACAAATAAATAAATTTAATATTTGTGTCATTGCCGTAATCTCGTTTTTAAACATCCTTGTTAATTACATTATATTTAATTAACATTAATTTATTTGCTCATTTTATTTCATACCTGTTAACTAGATTTTATTTCCACGAATTAACGTGGATAAAAAGCCGTTTGGATGAACTGCGCGCGCACAATCATCATAAAGAAATTGAGAAAATACCAAACATTGTAAAATAGATAAATAGAGAAGTAGGAAGAAGAAATATTTCGCGAAAATAAAGCTTATATTAACAGAACAATCTGAAATTTATTTTAATGAAGCTATTCAAAATGTATAAATAAGAAATGACAACAAAAGTTAATCATGAGCATCAAATTTATAATCCGTCAAGCGATAGATAAGTGATTGTGGGTGTATCTTTACTACATACATATTATTTCTTTTGCCGGCAATTGAATTGAGTAACACAAACATATTGTTTGTGAAACTCATCGGAAAGAAAAAGAAGTTTGAAAAGTCTAAAATTAAAAATCAATGAAAATCGCTCTTTATCGCCTCAGCTTTATCTCTTCACATTATGAATTTTCAGTATTTCATCTTGAGTTATTTGCTTGTTGGAAATGAGTCAGTGAAAAATGAGAAAAAAATTACAAAACTAGCATTCCATTTGTTTTCGGACTTTTCTTCTTTCTCATCTTCTTCTTATTTATATATGTATTTTGTTGGTGATTTTTTTTGAAGCTGCGGAAAACTCATAAATTTATTTAATTTGACTTCTTTATGTCATTTTGGATGTATGAAGAAAATAATTCTTCATTAAATGATACGATGAAGTTCATTTATTCATTTAGTGAATTTCCTGGCATCCAATGCATGAATTTAACTTGGAGTGTCGTGCGAAAATGCTTTTTGAGATCGTTTGATGATTTAAGGTATAGTTGAGATAGATCTAGATAGAACTATATTTTGGAATGGGGAGGTTTCAATCATTGATCAGTTGTAAGGTTTAATCAGGGGTTCTAAAATCTTGATGATGATCAAATTGTTATAAAAATTTAAAATCAATTCTAACTCAAAATGTTTTCAAAATCTTAAAATTTGTCAAAAATTCAAATTAATATGTTTTCAATCCAAAATTAATTTACGTGTTTTGGTTTAATTTAATAGCCATTGTAATTTATCATAATTCTGCTAGCTTTAGAGATTAGTTTTACGTGACATTAGGTTAATTCGTTTGCTTCATGATTATTTATTTTCAAAAATTCAAAACATTTTGACGACAAATATTTTTAAAAGCCGCTTGAAAATGCTACAAGCCACTATAAAAAGTTGTTTAGAAACTCTATCCGTAAATATCAGAAATGTCAAAACAAAGCGTCACTGACGAACTCAATTTTCAACTTGAAAAAATTTTCAATTCTGATTTCTTATCGCTTAATTTCAACAAGAAATTTGAAGTTGTTTGAACCTCATTTTTGTAGTCGTTAGAGGAAGCATTATATCAACTCAATTATCAAGTGTCAAGCTAAAAAATTCAAAAACTTTTTCAAGAGAAATTTACTTTAGTCATGGACTCACGTGATTCTAATAGTTTAACTATCTTTAAATTAATATTGTTACAAACTTATTCGATGATCTCATTTACAATATTTTTGGCTATACCGGTAATTCCCTAAACATTGGTACTCAATTGTTTATGTTAAAGAAGACGAAGAAAAAAAATATTTTACACAAATATTACAGAAATATTCTGCGGTGTGTCGATCTTTGAGCAAATATCTATAGACATGTTTACGCTACGCACATTTTAGGTTCATGAAATTAAAAAATCATATTCTTAAAAAAAATGCTCGGTGCTCGTGTACATCTTTTTGTTCCTCGCATCTTGACAATGAGCACATAAATCCCATCTTAATATTATTAAAAGCAAACAGTTGCCAAGTTTGTGAAGTGATATAAGACACACTTTTAAATGATAATTTCATATGAATATGTTTAGCATATGCTTAATAATTTTTCAATTTTCGGCTCCTTTTCGTGGAATTTAAAAAAATAATTAATTTATATCCAGTAACACAATTCATTGCTAATAAAATGCTAAATCTTTTTTTTTATAATATTATTTTTAGACCACATAGAATTGAGATGCCTTGGATGATCTATTAGAACACAGTAAAATAAAACATCTGCTCATGGCCAATTAATTAAACTATATAGTGCTAATCGCACTTCTAATTTGTGTTCTCACCTTATTTAGTGTTATTGATGTAAATTATCGACAATTTGTAACTTTACACTTTTATTTAATTGATTAATTGACAGCAATTTATCAGTAGCACTAAGAACTTAGTCAAATTGAAAAATTCACTTTTAATTATTTTCACGAAAAATTATTTCCTCCCTAATGATAACCAACCGTCAAGCTCGAGTGTTCTTCAACGACTGAAAGCCTACAAAACAGTAAAAATCGTAAAGCATTTTTTTCATATTTCTTCTCTATGTGTTGTTTGTGTTTTTGGTGTGTGAAGCTACAATAGTCGCTTGCCTACCACACAAAAAGTTTGTTTTTCTTCATCAATAGAAGATCTTTTTTTTTTGTTAATAAGAATTAACTATGAATTGTTTACATGCGAAATGAGAGAATACAAAAATCTTTTTTTTTTGCCGCTTCTTCTCACATTTTTTAATAATTTTACTTTATTTTCGGCAATTCGAGCCGGAAACATTTTATTTCTCTCGTCAACAGTTGTTTTGGGTAGCATGATCATCGCATATGAAAGGGAAAATTTTCTAGACAAGTGGAAAAATTTTCATTACGCATTCTCTGTTATGATAATTGATTAATTACTTCGTAAATCGGACTGTAAATTAGAAGTGTTTGTTGCTAATTAAGATGAAGAGTTATGGTCATTGATCATTTCTTAGATTGAGATATAACTTACAAGAGAGTCTTGAGAGATTTTGTGTAGTGCTAGTCATCAATATTTATTTCAATTTTAAGGAATATAGCACCACTTAGCGTGCTTTAGAGTAGTTAAATGGTATTTAAAAGAATTTAATGCTAATTGTCTCATTTAAGTATAATTTTGAATTCCTTAGCAATATTTCTATCATGTTTAGTGCAAGTCATTCTGTGGCTAATTTAGGGATTTATCTTAGACTGCATGTCTACTAAATGACGTTAATTCGTGGTTTTTAAGTAAATAAGAAATTTCTAATGTGTTCTTTTAGGGAGGAATATAGAAAGTCTAAGACTTTGTGATCTTTTATTCACAGGAAATTATTTTAAAACAAAAATATTAACGACGGGTCGAATCTCTATTAATACGTCATTTAAAAAAAGTCTATGTAATAGATTGTTAATACTTTTATTTCATCTGAACTTTTGCATCAAAGTCTAATCCTTGCCAATAACCCGGAACTATGCAAATTTTCATAGAACTTACATTGTCTTATAATTAATCATGTAAATTTATAGTTAAAAAGTTGAACAGCCATAAACGCTATCGTCATATCCAGGAAAATTATAGTCACAAAAATATGAAAATACAAACCGCTGCCAGAAAAATCACATCTTTTAGTAACATGAAAAGCTTTAAGCCAAGAATTAAATTACTCTACTATCTCTTAGCCGTTGGGTATGTAAACTTACAATTTTTTTACGATTTTCGTGACTTTTTGTGTCGTCATGACTTTGTTTTTATTGCCCCATTGTAAAATTCCACACTAAAATGATTTAGAATAGAAGTTATATTTGCATGCTAATCGCACAGTAGCAAGTGTTGTAAGTATGCCTATGTAGATACAATGATAAATGCAAATATGCATGAAATTTCAATTGTTCAACTGCACTGAAATGAAAAAGTCAGCACCCAATTATTTTTTCCCATCAATTAATGATGCACATTAGATTGCAATTATCTGCTAACCAGCAAAAGTAAAATTGTTTAATGCCGATAAATAGTTCAGATAATGAATTTAAAAAATATCTGGACTTGATTACTTCATTATACATGTGAATGAAAAGTGTGCATGAAGGGGGTCATTAAAATTATTAGGTATTAATTTGATTCTTTTAACTCGATAGAATTTCCAAGAACAATTGCTTACATTATTGTAATGAGACATGACTAAAGACATTACTCAGATCAAAAACAATTATTTAATTTTAATCACAATTCTGAATGATAATAAATTAAGTTACACGACAGAACTTACATGTCACAAAACCACAAAACATTACAAATTGATTCCAGAAAAACTTAAGTCAGTAGACAAGATAAAGCAAATAATAATAAAAATATTGTCAACGAACATACCTGTATGATATATGATAATAATGTCAAGTAATGAATCTTTATTGCCTGTTAAGGTTAACAGACAATAATGTGAGTTTATTGTTTTATAATTGATTTTGTTGAGACTCTTCGGATGGATTTATCTGTCAATCTTAAAAGCCGGCCTTCAAATCATTAGAATATGCTTGTGAGTTTCTCAGTGTGACTTTCTATTAAGCTTATTCATATTAAATGTCAAATTTACTTTATGATATTTTTATTATGCTTCAACCCCCTTACAAAACTTATTAAAAACCCACCTCACGCTGCCTTTTGCCTAAAAACAAATCTAAAATATCATTTAGAGTGAAATTGAGTCATTCAATTATCTTTTACGACTATCATTCATTTCCTATCTCAATTTATTTCATAATAAACATTCTATTTTTAGTGAATTTAATACAGCATAGCTGAGTTTTTATAACATACAGTATGGCTTGAAGATCATTTCCTTTTTTCTCATAAGCGAAAATCAACTTTAATGATGAAGTTCAAAAAGATGTAAAAATAATCAATGTCAGTAAAGCGTCTAGCACATGGTAATATGTGTAATTTAATCTTGAAATTAAGCAAAACTTTTTGATTTTTTTTAAAAATTCAATAAATTTTAATATTCGTCTTTTCTCTTTTGATTGAATGAATAAATGTCAGTTTGAGTTTCATCTATTTTGATAAATTTAGTTTGCTCCATTTTGGCTTGCTGTTCTTATTGGAGAAAGGAATATTAAATCCAATTTGTTTGATTTTCTACACGCTAATTTATTTGTAGTCTGAATGGCAGGAGTAAATTGCAGATAACAATTTACGAACTGAACATCGAAAGGGTTAATATAATATTATGTTGAACAAACTTACGGTTTGTTTTTATGTGGCTTGATTTCAATTCAATTCAAAATTTGTATTTTTGCAAATTAAAAGATTCAAAAAAAGGTATTCAAATTTTATACAACATTTTTAAAAACTCAAACTCATCTTAATCAATCAGTTTTAAATTGACATGTGAAATGATTTTAATTGAATTGATAAAAAGTTATTACAAAATCTACAAATTAAGCTCTCAATTATTGATATAAATATTGTTCACTACTTGATATCTTTAAAATAAATCAGAACCGTTTTTTTTTCTTAAGAGACTTAAAAGAGCTCAAAAGTGTTTCACGTGAACGAAAGAAAATAGAGATAATGGAAGAACTGATAGATGTTTTAAAAAATTTATATATCGGCACAAAAACTTTAGTCATATGATCGGGAATCTCATAGTTGAATTTTGGTGGAACAAGTTTTTTGGAGTGGATTAGAAGTTTACAATTTTGCAGAATCATTACTCTTAAGGTAGAACAACTAAAAATACCAGTCTCTCGAAATAAAACCAAAGCGCTTTAGTCAATTGTTTCCTTTCTAAAACTCACAGGAACAAGATATATTTTAAAACAGGGCTCGTGAGGAGTAAAAAACATTTTGATTTTCTGAAATCTGTTATTTGTGTGATTGAAAAAAATCATGATTTTTCAAATCCTACGTAAATCTTCACATAGGATTTCATTACGTAGACAAAATCTCAACGTAATGATTTTCATTACGAATTCAAAATCTTTCCGTTAGGATTTAACCTACGTGAATTTGTAATTGTTTACATTTTTTGGAAACTGATTGTTTTTATTGAAACTTGACAAAATTAATGCCTTAAGGACATCACATATATTGATATACTACAAAGATTGACTTATGAGCTCGGAATAGCAAAGATAAATATATTTTAATAACAATATTATGCTCTATATCAAATCAAAATTAAATTTTAGGAATAATGAGGAATTTAAGTGACACAACATAATGTCTTCTACGGATTTTGGCAATAGATTGGATCGTAAGTCACTCAAAAGAATTCTCAATGCGCTAAACGATCGCTCTACTGAAGACTGATTGCTAGGAGTAGCTGCAACAGCCAAACAAGTGTCCAACATGAGCCTGTCATACGTAAATTTAAACTTCAAGAACTTAAATATGTCAAAATCATCAACAGATGCCGAAACTCTATGCTGTATGCAGCATTTCATAATTTTTTCTAACACAGCTGCTTCGTTACTTCTTTTAGATCCAGTTGGAAGTTGATCTTCATCCAAATACATGTCGAATTCTGTAAGATTGGAATTTAAATGGGCTTGCTCAGCTGTTTTTGGATCATTTGAAATGAAAGTTTCAAGTTTCAATTAAAACAATCAGTTTCCAAAAAATGTAAACAATTACAAATTCACGTAGGTTAAATCCTAACGGAAAGATTTTGAATTCGTAATGAAAATCATTACGTTGAGATTTTGTCTACGTAATGAAATCCTATGTGAAGATTTACGTAGGATTTGAAAAATCATGATTTTTTTTAATCACACAAATAACAGATTTCAGAAAATCAAAATGTTTTTTACTCCTCACGAGCCCTGTTTTAAAATGCAATTATACGCATTTTTGCTCATTTTTGGTTTTGATCATAGTAGGCTATTTTCAAAAAAATATCGATTTTATATCTATATTAGCATTCTTTATCATTTATAACACCTAGATATGTTTTAAAATGCAATTTAAAGCATTTTTGGTTTTGATCATAGAAGGCTATTTTCAAAAAAATATCGATTTTATATCTATATTAGCATTCTTTATCATTTATAATACCTAGATATGTTTTAAAATGCAATTTAAAGCATTTTTGGTTTTGATCATAGTAGGCTATTTTTAAAAAAATATCGATTTTATATCTATATTAGCATTCTTTATCATTTATAATACCTAGATATGTTTTAAAATGCAATTTAAAGCATTTTTGGTTTTGATCATAGAAGGCTTTTTTCAAAAAATATCGATTTTATATCTATATTAGCATTCTTTATCATTTATAATACCTAGATATGTTTTAAAATGCAATTTAAAGCATTTTTGGTTTTGACCATAGAAGGCTTTTTTCAAAAAATATCGATTTTATATCTATATTAGCATTCTTTATCATTTATGATACCTAGATATGTTTTAAAATGCAATTTAAAGCATTTTTGGTTTTGATCATAGAAGGCTATTTTCAAAAAAATATCGATTTTATATCTATATTAGCATTCTTTATCATTTATAATACCTAGATATGTTTTAAAATGCAATTTAAAGCATTTTTGGTTTTGACCATAGAA